AAAAAAACAAATGTTTTGGATGCCATACATTTGTTAACAATGTCATGGAATAATGTCTCGGAAAAAACAATTCGAAATTGTTTTAGTCATGGAGGATTTTGTCAACCAGAGGACAACAATGCTGCTGTAATGAAAGAAATGGAAGACGTTTTCAATCCCCCGCCCGATATGAATGCTGAGGATTTTGAAGCATGGATGGAGATCGACGAGAAGGTTGAGACTTCTACTTCGTTAACTGATGAGGACATTTGCGAAGCCGTATGTGTCAAAGATCCAGCTTCGTCACAAGATTCTGATGCCGATGATGAACCCGAAAGTGCTATCGAGGACAAAATTCCGACGCCTGCTCAGATGAGGGAGGCACTTCGAGTCTTACGGCTAGGTGTGCAAAACAAAGCCGACGCGGAACACTTTCATAAACATTATGATTATGAGCGATTCGTAAATGACTTGCTTCGAAAGAATGCTAAACAATCGACAATTGATGATTTCTTTTTCAGTTAATAATTAACCTTTTGTATTGTTTTCTGCAGTTCATCATTAAATATGCAAGTATACTAATTCTTTTTCTTTAGTGTACATTAATTTCTATTAAATACTTTAGAGTCTTACAGCAACAACTCCTAATTTAATATAATTTTTATTTTAATACGTCTGTAAAAAAATCATTTTTTAGATTAATTTTTTTTTGTTTATTGTAATCAATCGGTTATTGTTATCAAATCATGTTCGTCCCGATGTGATCACATTAAGCGGCGTCTACTGTACAAAAATTTGAACATTGAATCATACAGACTTTTCAATTTAAAAGAAGTATTAAAATCAAAGTAAGGAAATGCACAAGGATCTAAATTTGTCAAGTGAGCCCCTAAAATATCAAGTAAAATAAAATGTGTTTGTTTAATAAGATTTAATTTAATAAGATTACTATTAATACATTAAAAATTTCTTTTGATCAGCGCAATGTACAATGGAAAAAAATTTTCTGATTTTTTTCAAATACATAACTTTGTTATAACTATGAATTAATAAAAAGTGTCCACCTCCAGATAAATTTATTAACTTGCATCTTTTGATAAACATTTTTTTTCGTAATATTAAAAAAAATATTAACAGTGCAAATTTCATTATTTACACCCACAAAGCTAGTGTGGTTTATAGAATTGCGTTGTATAGATCTTTTACTACACAAGTTTAAATAAGTGTATTTGTTAAATCTCATAATAATTTATAATATTAATGTTTGTGAATGTTTTGAAATGTTTGTGAATACCTGAAATTTTCAATTTATTTTTAAGATATTACTATAACTAAGCCAGAACTTTTAACTTTTTACATTATTTGCGATTAAATTTCAAAAGCTGCACAAACTGAAATTAATTAATTTCTTTCTTATTAGCTCTAATGTTGTAGAAAATTTCAATTTCTTTCGGCTAAAAATAAACACTTGAGAGCATTTTTTTTTTTTTTTAAGTATTGTAATGAAATATTATTTTAAAGCATTTTAAGATTGATCTATTTCAGACTAACGTTGGCATATTCAGTAGGAAAGTTTAAAGATAAGTTAAATGATCTATATAACATAAAACGAAAAGCCCCAAGTTTTACGGTCTGTGCCATTAAGAACTTAAATTTGAAACAAAAAGGTCAAACTTTTGCCTAATATTGTATGTCTAAAAGCCACTAAAAGTAATTCAATAACACATTTTAGAGAATCAGAATATAGAAACATCAGAATATAGAACTTATCTCTAAAGTTAAAAGCAATTTCGTCTTTCAGATCAAACCACTCTAAAACAGGAAGTTATAAGATTTTATTCCTAACACAGATAATTATAATTCTGTTTTGCAAATCTAAGTTTGAAAATTTTCTTTTAATTAATTTTCATAAAATTAGTATTACTCTTAAGAAAACAAAAAATATTTTAAAATTGATTTTTAGGAATTATACACTTTACATAGGCAATTTTTTTTCCTTAAATGCACTTTTTTAAAAAAACTAGTCAGCTACGAAAATTTCAATATGATAAATTTATACAATATCATAATTTTTTAAAGTGGTCTATAAAATTGACTAATTGTTAACAGTTTTAATTTTAAAAAAAATTAAAAAGATTTCAGACATTAATTTTTTTTAATTATTATCGAAATTCAAAAATATATGAATTACAAAACTTTCAAACTTCACAAATTTTATCCCACATACCAATAAAAATTAAAACAAGAAAATTTGTAAAATATAATGGTTGAAAAAAAAACATTTTCTGCATTTTTTTTTCAACCATTCTGGTCATTAGTTCAGGAATTTTGTTCAAATTTTTAGTAATTCCAGACAAGTTTTTAAAATCTCAAAACAAATCTATCACTCTAAAAATTGCAACAGTATAAACTTAAAATGACTCTACAATATTACTTCAGTATAACCTCCAATTAAACACGTTTAAAAGTGATAACTCAAATGTATTTTTCATAATACTATTAAAAACTACTTAAAAAATTTCTTGATTACAGGCAAAAAAATAATTGATAAGACCACGTCAATATATGATTAAATCAGGGTTCAAAAGTGATTAGGTAACCGAATGCAGGTTTTGAAATTTGAGTATACAATAATTAAGTTTCTATCTAAAATATTGGGATTTTAAAAATCATGTTAAAATATGTAGAAATAATTGCCAAAAAAAAAAAAAAAAAAAAAAAAGATTACCATTTAAAAAGGGAAGATTCAATAGAGTGATTTAAAATTCGTGAGTTACAATATTATATTAAAACATAAACAAGAAACTGCTGGAAAAAATAGAATAACTATGAGTTTTCACATTGAAAAAGAATAAATTTTTGGGGGGCCCACAACTTTGACATCTTTAAAGGTTTAAGTAAAATATCTTAAATCAGGAAATTGTTAACATCTAAAGTTTCTAAACATCTAAGTAGTCCAGAGGTTTAGAGATTATACAGCATTTAACAAATGGGAGTTGACTTGCCAAGATAGGATATTATAACTTACAGTTTTGGAACAATTTCAAATCTCATTTTCTCCAATGTTGGATCTTCTTTTAGCATGGTTTTAGCAATAGGATACATGCTATCAAAGTCAAAATCAAACATAACACCAGTTGGAGGACTCCTAAGAAAATTTCGTTTATCCTGGAGAAAAAAAAGCATATCTAACAGCTCCATTTCAAATAAAGCAAATAATTACAGTTCAATTAATCACTTTGTTTAAAAAATTTATAAAATTTATTCATATAAATTTGAAAGTTACGAGCGTTATCAATATAACTGAATGTGGGGTACAACCACTACCATGAATTTTTTTTATGAAAATTAATATGCTACTTAATTGCCAAAATCCGAAGTTCATATAAAAAAAAATGAACAAATTTATTCGATTAAAAGCAGAAATAAAACTCTCAGTTAAACACAGAGGTATGTAATGAGTGATTAAGATGATAGAAAGAATAATCTAAAACTTTAGCTGCCACACAACATACAGAGCTACTAACATGAACATTATAACTGACCAATAAAAAGGTTTTTCCAATGAAAAACAATAACTTTATAACCTTTTGCAGTTTTTGTTCAATAAAAAATCACCTGAGAAGAAAATTTTAAAACAAACATTGCAAACAATGTACTAATGTACATTAATATACAAAAATGGTACTGACAACAATGCTTAGAAAATGCTTAATAAGATTGCTTCATAAGACTGATACAAGCAAAAATGTTTTTGGGCAGTTCAAAGCAGAAATAGTTAACAAAATTACCATCATAAAACCTTTAACCTTCTCTGAATTGCATTTTAAAGGCGTAATGTATCAATTCGATGTATGAGATTAGTTAATGGGATTTTGCTGGATCTTTACTTGTGATTTTTAATATTCCGCTATTTTAACACAGTATTACAACTCGGGAAATTAGATACTATTTTAATTTTTCTTTTTCTGCTACTTAAAAAGTAATTTCGTATCTTAGTAAAATCAACACCTTTCGAAAAGAATAAAAAAAATTAGATCTGTAAATTTATATTAAATGTGGTCCCCTTTGCAAAAAAATAATTCAAACCATGAGTATATTTTAGTCCCATAAACAAATGCAAATTTAACAACACTCACCCAACCTATTCTTTTTGTTGTCACATGATTTAAAAATCACACATCGGGATTTGTATTTAAGCATTTTAAAAATCAGCAGTTTTGACTTTTCTCGAAATTTAAAAGTCACACATCATAATTCGTATTTACAAGATCTTAAAATTGCACATTGCATTTCGTATTAACATTTCCATCGCGATTTGTATTCATGAGATTTAAAATCAAATATCGCAATTAGACTTGTAACTTTATTTCTAACCTTATTTGCAAAACTGAACTATTGAAAGTTACAGAAGAGAAAATTGAATTTAGCATTTCAATGATTCAAAAGCCAATCGATGCACATAAAAAAATAACATTTTCTAATCATAATGTTCTTTAAACATTTTGTTAAATGCACAAGAAATTTAAAACTTTTATGATCGAATAATTTTTGTGTTATGAGAATAAGAGTGAAAAAATTTTAAAATTTTTTAACTGGGATAACTATTTTTCTTTATTACAGAAGTAATATTTAAGTTTACAATGTGTGGTAAATTGCACCATACATTACAAATTATATCAATAACAGGAAAAAAATGAGATTTAAATTTACATTAAAATGAATCTGCACAATATAATATCAATATTATTAATTTTGGATTCTTAAAAACACACTTGAAAAAAAATGATGGGAGAAAAAATTTAAAGTATTTCATTCATTTTAATTTAAATTAATAAAAATTCATTCTAATTTCGTTAAAAAAAAAATTTGTTTGAACCCGCCTAGACAAGTCTGGCGCCATCCTTGTTAAAAGTTGAAAAATTATCAATCTAAATTTTTCAACTTATTTACAAATACAATAAGAAGAATAACTCAAAAGAGAAAAACATTATATGTATAAATATGAACTTACTGCTGACAAAGATAAAACTTGCTCTTTTACACTTTCTTCGTTATCTGTACCAACCCAAGGAGGAGGAGATTCATTTTTGGCATCAGCATTTTTACTAGTAACAAATGCTTCTTGTTCCTTATTGAAATCTCCTAAAATACTCTATAAATTGATATAAAAAATCAATACATTTCAAAACATATATAATTAAAAATGTTCTTTACACTAGGTGTTTAATAATATCTATTATCGTTATCATGAGACAAATAAAGTCATTAGAACTTAACTATACAATATTTGATTATGTACAAAGATAAACATTATCAAAATCTGATCAACAAGATAATAATTAAAAAGAACAGGATAATGATTGTCACTAATAAATTTAAAATTTCAATATCATTTTAATTTCAACTTCGTCTTAAGGATACATTAATCTTTTGAAATTCTTATCAGTAGGTTATTAGTAAGTCACATTTAACAAAAAAATTTTGTTGGGGCCTTATGTTGGGAGGGTTGACAACCCCCCCCCCCAACAAAAGGCCCCCATTAATAAAAAAAAGCATTGTCTTTCACAAAAATTTGCATTACTTTTACAGAAACCACAAAATACATAAAGTTTTTAATTTCATCATTAAAAAAGTCTTATTTTCAAAGAGATAGTTTAACTTAAAAATTACTCTGCAGATAAATTAACATTCTATAAATCAGTTTCAAAATTAGTGTAATATTTCAAAAATGTTGCGTTTTATAATAATAATGCATTAAAAATTTGAGATTTTTAAAAACGTTGAAATGGCAATAAAACGATAAGTAGTTAAAATAACTGCCAAAAATGCGATTGGAGTTTAATGTGGATTAAAGATGAAATCTTTGCCAATTGAGTACGTAAGAAAGTGATAACTAAGATATGAAATTTGCTAGCTATAACATTTTATTGAAAGTATCAGAAATAAAAACATGTGGAAATGGCAACAAAAAAAAAATTAACACAAACAGCTACTGAAAAAATGATCCTGAAAGGATGTTGATTTATAATAGTTGCAAATTGAGCCTGCTTGTCAAAATGAGACACCTTAAATTTGAAATAGCATAGTATGAATAATATCAGAATAAGAAAAAATTAGAAATGAGCAAGAAAACGATCGAAAAAAGACGTGGGTCGAAAACAAAATTGTCATGAACCGAATTCAAAATTGCACAGCGTAATAATATATTTTAAAAAAAATCACAATTTGAAAAGAGCTGAAAAATGATAAATAACCACGAAAATCTATCAGCTAACCACTTGAAATTACAATTCATTGTCACGTATCGAATGCATCAAAAAGTAATTACGTAAAATCAAAATACACAAAATCAAAATCATCTTAACAACCGACATTTTTTTAACATTAAAGATATTATTCAGATATTTTGTATGCAATAAAATTGTATAAAAAATATTGGAATTTGAAAAACCATGTGAAAGAGCCAGAATTTAATGCATCAAAAAGTGATTAGTCAAATTTGAACAACACACATTTTAACAAACAATATTTTTTATAGATTATGGATATTATTTCAATAGCTTGTATACAATAACATCGTATAAAAAAAAACGGAATTTGAAAAACCATGTGAAATGGGCTGAAAAAATGATAAATAACGTCCAAAAAACTATCATCAATAGGTATGACATTTCAATGGGATTGTCATGAATCAAATGCTTTAAAAAAATGTTAGCTCAAATTCGAAATTCCATATTGTAATAATCAATTAAATATATTAGAATTTTAAAAACCATAGGAAACTACAGAAAAAAAACAATTAAATATTGCTGAAAAAATGATTAAAAACTTAATTTTAATATGATTTTTATAACCAAAATTTTTTAACACTATTTTATTATATGCAGTGAATTTTGAATTTTAAGAATCACTTTTAGATGCTTTCGATTTGTGACAATTTTATTGTAAATCTAAGTGGATCTATTGATGGCACATCCGACAACTATTACTATAGATTGCCATGTGATTTTCAAAAATCTCAGGGTTCTTTTTTTTTCAACATGATACTATAATACACGAATTTCAAATAGAGCAATTCGATTATCACTTTTTGACACATTCTAGATACAATTTAAACAGAAATGCAAAAAATGCAGAATTCTTTGGTGATTGTTAGAAGTTAACAGTTATGTCAGTTTGGTGTTTGTCATGTGAGTTCAGAAAAGAATACGAGAGGTTTCTTTTACAAATTGAAATTCTATATTAGCGAAACGTCGAATTTTGCTTCTGTAATATCCAAGTATTTTTTATCACAAAACGGCACTCAATGTGATATTACACACATTTGAGTAATCACAAAATTGGGAGGGAAAATTTAATGTATGGATTTATAAAAATGCTGAAGATTTGAGTCTCTGAGTAGAATGACGTAAAACAGAGCGAAAGTTTTAAAAGAGTCAGCAAAATGCAGAAGAGATGACAGCTATGAAATACTTATATATCAAATTTTAACTCCAAACTATCAATTTTTAAACAAAACAAATTGATTATCTAATACTTTCAATTTTTTCTTACATTTTATAAGAAAGCTAGATTGTGAAATAATAATAATAACTAAGTTCAAATGAACTGATGCAAATTGCCTTTTAAACTTCATGTTAAATTAACATTAAAAGTAAATCAAAATAAATTAACTCGTTTAAATCATTTATCATAGCGCATATTACAATTTTGTTGTAATATCACATACTAGATATTTCTCTTGCTATTGTCTCTTGAATAGAAATAGCTAGGAAGCCTCCAGTACATGATAAAGCTAAATAACATAAATTGATTACTGTTTGTCTAAGATAGGTACTCTGCCAGACATTCATCTGGAGCTGTGGCAGTGACTATGGTAACGAGGAATGATTATTTTAAGTAGGGGTGCGCGGTCCCTCTTTAGGACTGGTTTCGGCGAGAGAAAAGGAGAATCTTCATTGAAGCTACCCTCCCTAAAATGCCCTCTTCTTGTTTCCATAGCACCAGACTGTCGCACACTCAGATGCAATCAGAGTACCTATCTTAGACAAACAGTATTCATTTTGTTAACAAATTGTTTATTCATATACAATTATCCATCACTTGTTTAAGGAAAGAAAAAAATCTTTGCCAAATAATATGCATCAAAAATTCATTCCATAAAAGCCACCAATTGCATCCTGAATTATATAGTTTATAGTTACAATAAGCTGACAGAAAGCTCTTGCTTCACTGGCTCTCTTTTCTGCAGTCTATTACCCTATAAAATTAAGCTAATGGCTTTATTGGTGTTATTCATGCAAACCAAAAATGAATCAACTAAAAATACCAAAGTTCAATTAACTATAAAACTTGATAAAAATGCCAAAAAATAATATACCTTGAAATATTCAGGTCCCGCGCTAAGGATTTCAAGTAATTAGCCGAATATCAAAAATATTTGCCAATTTTCGAAAGTCTTCGCCAAATGCAAATCTTAACAATTTTTTAAGATTAATTTTTTAACATAGAAAACTATTCTTTCATTTTATCGTAATTTTGAGGATCGAGTTAAATATATTTTTTTCATTCCAGTGGAAAAAATCATTTGCCAAAACACAATTTTATTCGCCAAATTTACGATTTTATGGCATTTGACGAGGTGGCGAATGCTTAAGGCGAACTCCCTGAATATTGTGAAAAATTATGCTTTCATTTGCTAAGTATAATAATTATCATGATAAATTATTTTTTATTAAATTAATCAATCTGATAGCTCAAAATACATTTTTACACAAGTGTAACACATTTAACACTTTTCTTTTGGTTGGTACAACTGAAGCACCAGAAAAAGTATTTTTAGAATAAGTGTTTCAAATAAAAGTTTAATTAAATAATGCAAAAAGAAAAAAACACATAAAACTACAACAATAAGACTTACATTTTCTTCCACAGTAGTTTTTAATTGTTTAGCAGTTTCAGTTAGAGTGCGGCCAGTTTTGTTTGCAATGCCATATAAGAAACCTATAAATTAAATAATTAATAACAAATTAGAAAGAAAGAAAACCGATAACAAAAACCGAGAAATAAAACCAATAATAAAAAGGACATTATTGAATTGATACAATATATTTTTTCTTGTCAAAATTGACATAATTCATGCAATAAATTTTAGCAAATGTTAGTACAGTACAGAACCATTTATCCAGTATCCAGAAAAATGGGAAAATTTCTCCTTATTGAAAACTTCAATATTTCTTCTGTGACCTTCAAGACCTTTAGGTTAAGAGGGGACAAGGAAAGGACAAATGTTTTATTTTCTGCTGTGTGTTCGAAAGAATCGTTGCTTTTATGATAAGATGCCCTCAATCAAACATAAAGGAGTTGCATGCTGATTTCGTTTTCTGGGGAAATGCATTGCACACGCATATCAGTAAATAGAAGATGAAAGAGAAATAAAAAGAACAATATATCCATAAGATACTTTACCAAGAAAAAGTAAAAAAGGTGAAATGGGATTACAAATTATTAATTAGAATATGAAAACGATTAAAATATGCCTATTTTTTATTCAATAATAAACTATGAATATAGTTAAGCTAAATTTAGTCATTTAAAAAATAATCGGAAGAATTTAGTAAATTATAACTCAAATAATTGGCAGTGCAAGTGGGGAAAAAATACAATAATCATCAAGATTTGCCTGGACTAATACTACTAAAATTCATAATTCAACAAATTAAGATGAATAAATTATTATTATTGGTACAAATTAAATTATTCCAAAGAGAGTTACAAAACATCTGCTTGAATCCAAATTTGAGTAGTCAGTTTTTTTTTAATACATTATTTTAATGCAAAGCAGATTAAATAAGAAAAAAATTGGTGGCATTTAATTAAAACGCAAGTTATATTTAATACAAGTATAAGTTTTGCACTTCTTATAAGAACATTAACAGACATTAAGAACATTATAAGAGATTTTTCTCAAAAATTTTTTAACTTTAAAATTTAAACATATTTTTACATAAATTATATTAAACATATAAATAATAAATGAACAAAAGATATTTGTTAAATTGTAAAGCATACACAGCATGTAGTAGCAAAGTTTTTTTTTCTTTACAAAAGGGTTTGTATCGTATTTTTCTTTTTGTTACAGTCAAATTTTCTTTGCGCAGTTCATTTCGAAATGTTTGATAATTATCAAGAATGCGTATATTTTCTAGACATCAAGCACAATAATTAGGAAGCCTAAAAAATTAGAAAAAGAAAAAACAGTCTGTTCATATGCCAGACCATGTGAAAAAGTAAAAATTTTCTATTAAATGAACCATGTTATTCTTTGTTGAATTTAAAATATTTGAACTCATGATAATACCCACCTATTTTTTGTTCACTTTTATATTCACATTAACTTATGTCTAAATTTTCACAAAATAGGTACTTCTCAGAAAAACCTAGACAAACCCCTGCTTCTGATCATCATAGTTAGAATGATTTAAAAATACAGCAGAAAATATACAACTATATCTCAGTAAACAGACTTTTTAGAATTACAACTATATTATAAATTATTAAATAATTACGTTTATATTCAACTGAGTAAAATAATTTTGATAAGGTTCAATTTGGTATATATTTATGTTCAACTAAGTAAAATATTAAGATTCAACTTCGTAATAATTATGTTTATTTACAATCTGAAAATAGCTAGGTATATATATAAATTTTATAATGAGTTAAATATATAATCTAAATGGTTTTAAGGACTGACTTCCAAATGATTTAGCAGATTCTACAGCTTTATTGGAGACATCTTTTAAATCGCCTGCAGAAATGCCCACTTTGACACCGCTCTTTTCTGGATCTTCATTTCCTTCAGAATTGCGATCAGATTCTTTGGATATAGGACTAGTACTATGTTCGGAAATAACCCCTTCGCTTTCAGAAGAAGCTTCTCTATCTGAGTTGCCTTGTTGTGTTTCTAGACTTAAAGATGACACGGGTTTCTCACTTCTAAGTCCAGCAGCAAAATCGTCAGAACTTTCGGCTTTAACTTCGCCTTGATTTTCAGATGCTTCTTCTTTTTGAGTTAATATTTCTTTAGCTTTCGAACTAACTTTCCATAATAAATCCATCGCGCACTTTAAGCGCAGGATTATAATTAAAAAAGAATATATTTACCGTGAATTAAAACTTATTTATATCTAAGCAATACAGCTAATATTAAATCTGAGAAATAAATAAAAAGAAAATTGCATTAGTATTTATAAACAAAGACTACGAATTATGAAACTGCAATAACTGCTTCTCACTGTATTTGTCTACTTCTAGTTCTGATCTCTAAATATAAAGATGCCATCTTATTTCCACAAAATTTTGCAACTTTCTGAAGAAAAACAATAATGTCATGGTGGCCAAGAGCCAAAGACCTCATTCCAGTTTGATGCGTCAACTTTGGTCTAAGGCTGGGATTCAACTGAAACTTTATTGTCCCGCAGTGGACAGATCGTTGAGACAGAGCTCCCAGCAGATCACAGAAGTCAAGCATCACTAGCTGCGGTCAGTGTGCAGGTGGGTGACCACTTGGATCAGTCTGCGTAGAGACCGAGAGTGTGCGGTATTGCTTCTCGCTAAACTGTTCTACCGTAAAGTGCTCAACTTCGCTTGCAGATCGTCGGACTACCGAAACAGGGGTGCCATCCCCTCTGCAGAGGATCAAAATTGTGATAACATGTCTTCGGATCATCCTCAGGGATGTTTCCCAGACCGTCGCCAACAGCCCATTGTGCAGCTCTAGTGCGACATAAATGAACTACTACTACTTATTTTAAAATTGGAGATCGAAATGGGCTACAGGTGGTATTTAAATCATTTAGGAAACGGTACTTTTACTTGCTTTACTTCTGGTTAAAAAGTGTACAACTGCTTACTGCAGCTTACTCTGAAAGGCGATATTTTTAAACCAATAATTTTGCTTTTATAAAAAAAATAAGTTCTATAATTTATGTTGCTGTTGTTGTTGTAGTTTATTAAAGTCACACTAGAGCTACACAATGGACTATTGGCGACAGTTGAAGAAGCATCCTTGAGGATGATCCAAAGACATGCTATCGCAATTTTATCCTCTGCAGAGGGACTGGCATCCCCGCTTCAGTTGCCCAACTGTCAGCACGGGAAGTCAAGCACTTTAGGGTAGAAAAATTTAATGAGGACCAATACCGCATACCCTCGGTCCCTACGCAGACTGATCCAAGTGGTCACACCCGCACACTGACAGCAGTCACTATAATTTGTGAGCTCAAATCTGTTGTATGTCAAAAGATATTAAGTAAATCTGGTGAGTTTAAAGTGAAAATTTGTTTAAGTTATTTATTGGTGGGTACTTTATTTACGTCGCACTAAAGCTACACAATGGGCTGTTGGAGACGGTCTGGGAAAAATCTCTGAGGATGATCTGAAGATGCGTCATCCTCTGCAGAGGGACTGACTTCCCTGCTAATAAGCTATTTCCCTGATAGCAAAATAAGGTTTGTTTTCACTCAGCGCAAACCTTTTAATGTAAACCTAAGATGGTTTTTAATCCGGTTTACGTGTAAACCTTCTAACCTTAAAACGAGATCTGTGACAATCTGCTCTATTCTACTCACATTATCCTAATCCAAAACCTTGGAAAACAACCTTCGATATAAAAACATTAAATCGAGGTTGTCTTAGGGTTTTCAAGCGTGAAGGTGAAAATAGTCTTAAATCTAGATAATTATAAAGTTTCTTTTCGCAACGTCTTGTATGCTCAGCTAAAATCCACCTTGTCATGAAATTTTAATGAACAATGTAATTCTGATCACTAGTGTGACGTCAGCTAAAACGTCATTATGAACCTAATTGGTCATTTTACCTAAGTGGCAATGCTTTTAAAAAGACTTTAAAAAATAATTTTTAACATCTTTACGATGAAAGATTTGAAACTGCAATATTTTTGCTTTATTGAGAAAAGGTTTTTAGTATATAAACATTTTCGTGACAATAAAAAGCAAATTCCGACAAAAGGCTACCGTAAGGTCACATGCTTCTTGGGTTATTTACTTAGCAATACAGAAATACTAAATAAAATTATATTAGCGAATTCTGATACCATTCATTTTTCTTCTTTTTACTCCAACCATATATCTTATGTTCAGCTGATTTTTTTGAATATTTAAAATTTATTTAAGAAATAATACTATATCACAACTTTTATTGATATTTTTTTCTTTTTTTCAAACAATGGGTTTTCTGATGAATTTAATATCATTAATAATTTTCAAGTCTTTAATTTTAAAATGCATTCTTATTATTTTTGAGAAATGAGCTTATTTTATCAAAATCTCAATTGAATTTGAGTTTGCAAAACATATTTTGTAAAAGTTGAAACTTAAGCAATTTGTAATTTCTCAATTATCATTCATTATTTATATTCTGATATTGCATAATAAAACAAAAAAAAACTAATTGCAAAGTTAAATTTACATTTGAATTGAGTTGAGAATTTACCGTTACTTTTTTTTCTTTTAAAAATAATTCCTAATTAAAATTCGAATAAAATCTCCTTTAATTTTTTTGTATGCCATTCATTTCCAAAAATATAAAAATAAAATTATACCTCGAATTTTTAAATTGTTATTTTTTGCAATAATTGAGACAATAAAGAAAATTTAAAAATGAAAATTACGCAATTTTAAAGAATACAATTTTTAGTAAAATACCAATTTCAAACAAAATTAGTCAAATAGTTCTCTAGAAGTCGAATTCTAAACATATGTCTTTGAGTAATGAGGTTATGATTGAGATCTGGTACGTGAAAATCTGATCATTAGAGAAAAAGTTATTCAGATTATTTAAATTTTTTTCTTTATTTTTTGTGAACTGTAAGTAACAGAATCCATTTAGTTTTACAATTTATGCATTGTGATAAAAATAATCAATTGCCTACAATCCTGATTACAAACTAATGAAGCTCATTTGAAATTATAATTAAAACTAATCGTGCTGTAATCGTATTTGAGAATTATAATTTCTTGTAGTCTTACTTTTCATGAAAAAATAATATTTGAAAGTTTTCCGGTAATTCAAAAGTGTAATCAGAAAATTTAATCGAAACTTATGAATTCATTCATTAATCACCAGGCTATAATTTGCATAAGAAATGAGGGCTGAAATCATATTTGAATAATCATTCAAAGCAAAATTTGACTAAATTTAGCCAAAACTAAAATTCTCTCAAATAACGCTCATTTCTGGAATGAAACAACCTTGATACCACATGGTCGATATTTTAATTATTCATCTAATCAATTAAAAGGACATAAAAAATATATGCGTCGCCTTTATCAAAGTAAAAATGTCGTTTTCGAGGTGGAATTTATCTTGCACTTAAAAATGTAAAAAAGGTTTTTACTAATAAAAAGCAGTAATTAATCAAAAGATATTAATACTGAAGAGTTAAAATCAGTACTCACATAAATGCAGTTTAAAATAAAAATTAAATTTAATAGTAATTTTAAAAAAAAGTATTTTAAAAAATATTAAAAGCCAGAAAACAAAATAATAAAAAGATATAATCCCGTCATCAGCTCACACAATTATATCCTCAAAAAAGATTGCTTTCTAATATTTTATTAATATAGCCAAAGTAAAATATATCAATACAATAGTGTGAGGAGTACCCAAAATATTGAAAAGAAAATGGAACATAGCAAAAAATAGATAATAAATTGTTCTACTTTCGTTTCAAATTTTTTTTGGGTGCTCCTCACACGCGACAGCTCATAGAGGGCCAATGCCTACTGTGCCCATCTCAGTTTTCTTGACCTTGGGCTCTGGGTTGCAGCAGCAAATGTTCCGGTTGGATGGTCAGCCGGTTAGTTCCCAAGCATGCTTGGTCATTTATCGACCCACTGAAGGGATGAAAGGCTGAGTCAACCTTGCCCGGCCCGAGGATCGAACCCAGGACCTGTGGCACGGGTTCACCACTCTGCCGGCGGTCACTATTAATACTAACAACTAAATTTTTAAGATGATCAATTTACAAGTTTTAAATTTTGCAGTAACAAACCAGAAATCAATTAACTCCAATATCGTGATTTTTTGCCTCTTTTTCGGTAATTAGTACAACACTGAGATTTGCGAAAGAAATTCGTGACTTGGCAATCACGACGCAGAACCATTTAAATCTATAAATGCTGAAAGATATCTTTCTCTTAGAAGAGAATATCTATATTTTTTTAATATAGACAAAAATATGATATAAATATATCGAAATTAAATTAATTATAGTATAAATGATACAGTACACAATTTGAAAAATTTTGTTCATCCATTTTTTTCGTTTACAATCAAATTGAGAGAGAAGAAAAAAAACCTAGTTATTCATTTACTTTGTTGAAAAAAATATTGAATATGTATATGTAAATAATTAAAGCTGAATGTTTATAAATCAATATGAGAAAATAATATAAATTGAAGAAAATTTGAAGTGTATAGTTAAAATTAAGTAAAAATTAAATTTTAACTAAAAATTAAATTGATGAATTGAATATGTTATTTAAAAAATAAATAAAGTGAAAGGAAACGAAACAAGATAGAAAAAAAAATATATATAGGTTTCCGGGTGAGAAAAAATGAATTTGTCTTTCGCCATGTAAAGGAAGGAAAGGAAAGCCAAATAAAGTAAACCTGGAACGGGGTTAAACGATAACGATAAAGTCAATCTTTGAGCTAGCTAATCAAATAAGTATATTGAATTGAAAATTCCGTCAACCAAGCAACGATCTTCCCAAAAAGACAGTAAAGCGACCATAACCATGACCGTAGCGCGGTTAAACATAAACTAACAACTGAATGTTAAATGCCGTATTATTAGGCTTAAATTTTATTTTTTTAAAATAATTTTTCCATCTTAAGATTTAAAATCAATCGAAGATGGAAAATACATACGGAATCGGTGTTAAAAATCGTTATGAATTGTTTTACGATGAAGATGTTGACCCTCTCGAAATAATTCGTGAGCGCGAGGAAGCAAAGGAAAAACGAAAGACCGATAAAACTGTGCCGAAGGATAAAAACAAAAGTGTCAAGCCTGGAAAACCCACACCGGCTGCGACCGTTTCTAAAAAGCCCAAAGAAAATCCCCTCGCTACTGCGTCAAAACCAGTTGAAACAACAGGTATTAAAGGCCTTAATTAAAAAAACTACAGTGCATGAAATTGTTATTACTTTTGCAAATGTATCTACTTTATTTTTGGTTCACATTTCGAGCTCTTTAGAAAATTTACATCTAAACAAAAAATCCTTAAGAAACGAGCATTGATAACTTTTCTATAGTATTCAAACATATTCTGAAATTTCAAATTTAAAATAAACTTCGCCTTTACAATAGAGCTAGCTACAATAAGAGTTGACTTGTAATTGAAAAATTGATGTCCGTTTTAAAAGCAAGAATTATTGTGTGCTGAAATTGAATAACTTATATTATGCTTTGAAACATAATAGATTTAACTCAGATTTGAAGTTGCTTGTATAAAATATTAATTAAATCACAAATTGTTCCTTAATTATTATTTATTTAAATGCCTTTGTTTATTAATATCTTGGCTTTTAAAGATCGTTTGTTGATGTAGGAAATACTATATAATTATGTTTTTATAGTGTTTAAAGATTATGCATGATCTTTTATGATATTGCTAAAGCTAACTTATAACTGAGCTCAAAACCAAACGCAATTATTTGCAATTTTTGTTCCTAAATTGAACAAACACTGAAGTGTGCCAATTTCCCTTTCACTAACAAGCATAGGGATAAAGGATTTCCGTTTTTAGCTTATTTGTGTTTTCTTTTTACCTAACTCATCCTTATGGTATGAATCATTATAGAGTTTTATAAAAATTAGAACATTTAAAAAAAACAACGCAATTTTGAAGCAAATTTCGCGAAAACAAGGGGGGGGGGGCGATGAAAGGGTTTGAAACTGTTATTAAGAATTAATCAATTGCTCTCAGAAAGTTTTTTAATTGAGATTTTGTGTTCATCGAAAATTTTTCATTTTATCCAAGTCTGCATGGCTTCTGCCAGTGTTCATTGTAAACCTTAAAAGTTACAGTGTGCTAAAAGCAGAAAAGAGCATTATTTCTCCTAATAAAAGTTCACCTATCATAAAAAAGGCATTGTTCAAAAGTATTTGCATAACTTTTAAGAGAGCCGTGGTGGTTAAGGAAATAGAGCGTTAGCCCCCTAATGAGTTGAACTGCGTTCCAATCCCAGTTATGACTGGTTAAACTGAATTCCACACCCGCCTTGCACCAACCACAATGCTGATATAAAATATCCTTAGTGGTAGACAAATCATGGGTTAGAGTCCCCTTGCCGTCAAGCTAATTGTGAGTGGTTTTCTTCCTCATCTAAAGCAAATGCGGATTAGTTTCATCTAAAAGTCTTCCTGGAATTAAATTTTTACTAACATTTGACCTAGGAGCTCCTAGTCTTCTCGATTGGGTTCAAAATTGCATCACATTTTGAGATGTTCGATTCCTTCGCAATTTCATAGTGTTTGATGATTAGTTTTTTCGAAAGTTCTTAATCATTTTTCAGCCCTTTTACTTGGGTTTTATTGGGTGTTTGAAATTCAAATTTGAGTCGTCACTATTTGATGGATGATTCGTCACTATTTGATGGATACTCGATTCGTGACAATTCTGACACAATTTCTCGTCGTTTTATGGTAGGTTTTTCGCAGTTATTTATCATTTTAGTGGTCTTTCACTTGATTTTTCTAAATCCTGTTATTATGAAGTTCGATACATGTTGATTCCATTATAATTTCCCTTTGTTGGATAACATTGGGTCGTTTGGAAAGTTGGTGACGATTCTTTAATACTAAATATAGATATTGATTATCGTACACAAATTTTCCAGACAAACGAAATAAGTTTTTTGGAAATTATTTGTAATTTTTTCGGCTTTTGGCACATGGTTTTTCTATTTTCTCTGATATTTTTTTAAGATTTAATGTTACGTTCAAATTTTGAATTTGACTGTCACTTCTTAAAACATTCAATTTGCGTTGATTCCATCATAATTAATGTCGTTCTATGATAGTTTTTTCAGCATGTTATTTATCATATTTTTGGCCTTCTATGCATGGTTTTTCAAGCTGCAATGATTTTTATATGCTATTACAACACATTAATTTTTAATTTAAGTTATTACTTTTTAAGGCGTTAGCCTCAAATCCGTCTTAAATCCACATTTCTAATTTGAGTTATCACTTTTTAAAGCATTCGATTAGCACCGAATTTATCTTAAATCCATGTCATTTCCACTTGTTTTTTCTTATTTTGATAATTTTTATATGATGTGATTATGACAAAAGAGTTTTTCAATTTAAGAAGTTTCTTTTGATGTGCGAATTTAGATTGATTCTATCATAAGTCCACATAATTCATGGCTTGATAAAACCTGGGTATTTTAGAAAAATCCTAATCCACCTGGGTTTTATTGAAAAAACTGGGGGGAAATTTGGTTTTATTTGAAAAAACCCGGGGAAAATTGGGTTTTTTCATATATTGCTCATAAACTCAGTTTTACTTTGTAAATATTTTTATTTATTAAAAAGTGTTGTATAAGCTTAAAAATAGAAATAAATCCAAAAAGTTATTTTAATTTTGTTATATGTATTTTATATTAAGTTTAAATAACGCATTATCACTAACACTAATACATATTTGAATCTTCTTTATTGTTAAGTACATAACGTTTCACAATTTTTAACTCAAGCATTATAAAATATAAATGCAGTTATATAAAAGGAACAAGTGTACAAATCTTTTTGTTTTCACACACTCTTATTTACTATATTTATTAAACATATATATACTTCCTATTATAAAATTATAATCAGTGAAAACTAAAATTTCATCTGACTTTTGACTTTAATAAAAAACTAAAATATTTAATGGTCTTCCATGTTTTTATAATAAATTAAAAGAAAGTGAAATTGAAATTAAGTATAATTATAAAGAGTATCAGTTACTTGTCCCATTTTTTCAAATAATTAACCCTCGGAAAATGATTTAATTTTTAGATGAATAATTTTAAAAAGTTCTCTTATAAAAAGTTTTAGCTTATTTTTTTAAAGCCGGAAAATAAAACTGTTTAAATGTGTTAATGTATCACTTAGTAAAAAAAACTTTTTTTTCTCCCATCTTTTTTAAACATATAAATTAATAATATTAATATATAAAGCGTGCAACTATATTTGAAAAATTGATATTATTGGAAATTATTTTGAACTATATTATTTGAAATTCTATTTCATTTAATTTCATTAAAATGTTACTTTTTAAAAAAATCCACTTAAAGTTTTCAATAGTACTATAAAATTATAGATTCGAGTTTCTTTTATTTTACTAATATTAAAAACTTAATCATATAAATCATGCAACTCTATTTGACAAGTTTATGCTGCACAATAAATTATATAAAATTAAATGTGCATCAATAAGTTTTAATAAAAAATTTTTTTTTTTGAAAAATCCACTTATCATTCCAAGTGGGCTTTTTCAAGGTGGGCCCACCCAATAAAACCCGGGTGGGTTTTTTCAAAGTGGGCCCACTTGGCGAAACCTGACATAATTTATTTGTTGTTTTTCGGCAGCTGTTTGCCGTTTCTTGACTATTTTCTCATGGGTTTTTCGATTCCAATGTTATTAATATGATGTTAAGGATAGCAAGTTTCACATTTAATAACTTGTTCATGAGCTTAATTCGCGACGATTCCATTGTTAATCCACATTCATTTTCCATCGCTTTTTCGACAGTTATTACAATTACTTATTGATTTTTCAATCAATTTGACATTGTTTTTAAAATCCCAATATTTTTAATAAGTTGTTATTATGACACACAACATTTTAAAAATTCTAGAATTATGGCCATTCCAGTGTTTTCACTACAGCGCGAGAATGCGAGAATCTCGGATATTTTTTTCTTTTCTCGTAATAAAAAATGATTAACTCGAGAAGTACGCGCACTCTATTAATCAATTTCAAAATGCACGAATTTTGGAAAAAATTTCGTCTTTTGCAATTTTGAATAAAATCCGTTTCACTTTTCTTCCTTGATCTTTCATTATTTTGAACATCGGTCCTTGTTAAACAGTGNCTTATACGATATTTTAATTTACTTCTAACACTTTTTTTGACGTAGGGGGTAAGGGTACTTTTGTTCTGAGTTCAGGGTCAAGTTGAATTCACTCAGTGATGTGGGAAAGTACTGATTGTTTCAATTTACGCCCGATTCTTTTTGGGTTTTTTTTTAACGCTAAAACTGTTTATAAAAAGTTTTTGTTTTTCAATAATATCATTGATTGAATATGAATTTTTTGAGTGCTTGAAAATTTTTGTAAAGTGCTTGAAAAGTTTTTAAAAAGTGCTTATTTTTGATTCAAAGATTTGGCTATGCACACTGTTTAATTTTTAGAAATCTCACTTAACTTTTTGAAATCTCACCCTGTTTTTGAGAAAGGGTGAGAAATTCTCTCCCAATTTTTTTCTGTAATGAATACACTGCCACTCTATGTTCCAGAACTAAGAAATTATTTTTTATTTAAACTAATTACCTTTTAAATTCAAACTTAGTGTATTTTGGGTGTCTTAAATGCTTAAGTATTGTTCATAAGATAAAAAAATGCTTTTTTTTTGTGATAGGTACCGTTTTTTAAGGGAACGATTGCCCCTTTCAGTTTCTAGCACCCTGGTCTAAAATAAACACTGGTTTGTAATCTTGTTTCAGTCTTTTGGTCATCTTATGAAAAAGAAACTCAGCACTTTTTTCGTAATTTTTTTAATATATTTAATTAAATCGTAATCTCGTAATTTATTTAATATGACTGATCACCAAGGGTGACACTAGGAGATAATCAAAGAGAGCAAGTCTCCAAAGCCATTTTGGGCTGATATTTTTATTAAATATTTTTGTAGTTTTAAAACTGTAAATTACAAATTTAAAGAATATTTTTGACTGTTTAGAGCATAATTTTTTAAAATCTGAGACAGGTGTAAATTTTTCCAACCATAAGATTTTATTGTCAATGTTCTACTCTTCTTTTGTGCCAATGTTCTTTTTTGTTCAAGTTGTGGTTTAGTTTGATGTTGTAAGAGATTTTGCTAGCGACTTAGATTTCGAAATCTTTTTTTGGTGGGAATACTTTTTAGATTTCTGTTTTCAGTGGCGATTATTCTTTCCAGCCATGTTCATTGTATCTTCAATTCAAATTTCGCATAATAAGAGAAAGACATTTATAACCGGCACATTTGTTAAACTTAAAAATTAGTTTTTATATTTTATTAGGAGGGGATGGGTGGGAATTTTTTAATCATTCTTTATACATCTGTATGACATTAGAGAAAGAGTTTTAAAAGAAATCTTAAGTTTTCACAACATATCCAGGGGTCTGTTTAGAAGAAATTTGGGTCCGTTAACGGACCCTTCACAAAATATCTTTTCACTAAAACGGACCCTTCACAAAATATTTTAACTTAAAAACGGACCCTTCACAAAATGATTTTTCTTTTAATCGGACCCTTCACAAATTTGTTTAACTTTATTATTGTTTTTTTAATCGAATAAACCCTTCCCAGGGCAGAAAACAAGAAATATGGATGTAAACGAATTAAGTTTTGTCTTCGGCAGACGATTCTTCTCGAAATGAATATTTGGTGTTCAGCAGTATAGAATAAATACCAAATATTTGTATGTTTCATCGCCAATTTAGTAGCTGCAATTGCTGTTTATTTTTTAAAATTAATTTTTTAAATTATAATTTAACAGTGTTGAGTATAATCTTGTATGTCTTTACAATTTAAAAACTTCATGAAAAAGTTTTTTTGCAATAACGGACCCTATTTGCAATAATTCATAAAAGCGGACCCTGATTGAAAGAATGTGAGTAATTTTTTCACAATTTCACGAAAACCGGACCCTTCACAAAATGTCTGGACAGACCCCTGATATCTATATTTTTTGTATGAATAATAGGGGTAGTAAAAAAGATTTTCCTGAATATAATTAAGAAAAAAAGAGTTAAAAGTTATAATGCAGTGATTTCTGGTATATGTGCCACAGCGTATCTGTATTTAACACGAGCTAAACTATCGTGATATGTGACCTATCCAGCAAATTTATTTTTTTCGTTTTTTTTATGCGAGAATTCCGCAATCAATGTGAATTGGAACAAAAGTATATGTTTACAAAAAAGTTTTGAAATAGCTCAATCAATTTGCTTGGAAAATTATATACTTTTCAACTAATATTTTTTCTTAAAATGTGGTGGGGTAAGACAAGTTTTTGATTAACGATGGACTGTATGTTGTCAACTATGAATGTGCAACAGGAACCAATTTACAACTTGAGTTTAATTAAATGAATGTTTGTGTTCTGGGGATTCGGAAAAAATGTGCTCCAGGTTAAAACAATTATGTAAAATAAAAAAATCATGTGACGAGGAAAAGGAATGTAGCCCAAAAAGAAATTCATTCTCACATCTGCAAGAGATTGTTCTCAGGAGTGGATAAGTGTGTGAAGCATGTTTCTTGAGAAGAGAGAAAGAAAAAAAAATATATTACTGTACATATTTATGGGAAAAAATACATATTTATGGGATCATCAGAGCCACATGATTGGCACGTTTTGTTTCACTTCTATCCCCATTTCGAGAGATATGTTTAGGAGTAGATGGGTGGACGAAGTTGAGAAAAGAGAAACAGTTGAGAAAGAGAAACAGCTAGTTGAGAAAAGAGAAACAGGAAAAAAAATTCTAACCTGTCTTTTTATTGATGAGGTCAATAGCATCACATGACCAATGCACAATGTTTCGTTTCGATTCCTATCCTTTCAACTGCAGCCAGTTAGTTTCGACTTTATTTTTGCACCATGCTGCATGTGGGATTTAAAGCTGGATGTGGGATTTTAAGCTCACACAATTTACATTAGAAAGTTTTTGAGTTCACTTTCCTATATGATATGCCGTTGTAAAAGCTTGTTTTGTTTCTTTTTTGTGCTTAAAATCTTTGTTTTCCCTTTAATTAAGGCTAAAATTTGAAATTAGAAGTGACATATACGACTGTCAAGCTTATGCGATGATAATAGAAAATTTTAGATAGGCTTTTTTTGTGGTTGCAGTCTAGGCGATGATAATAAAATTTATTTTATATACTATTTGAGTGTGTAGCATGTATAACTGTGCCGTTTTTACCAAAAATTACTGTATGTAGATATATATAAATCTTATCCTGTTTATACATTTTGCAAGTGTAACTTAGCAAAGTCGCCTTGCTTTTCCGTGGTTATGGTTTTATGACATACTCCTTGTTGAGTGAGAGTAGAAATTAGAAGTTTACTAATAAAGGTTTAACAATAAATTCTGTATAGTAATAGATTGTTTTGCACATTCTAGGAATTTACACTATTAACTCTTAGTTCATTTCAGTAATTTTTCTCTGAAATTCCTGTTTTACAATTCATAGTATGATTGAAGATGTTGGTAACTTAATAAATAAATATTAAAATAATATTTGACACATTGGCTTAGTTTTGTAACATTAAAATTGGAATGAATATGAATAAAATTTATTTCCTGTCTATAGAAATCTTAAACAAACCAAGAACAAGACCATTTGCTGATCGGAACATAAAAGGTCTAAGAAATTCGGATGAATCCAGAGATATAGAAGAGCGGAAAAATTTCAGGAACAGAGATGAGCCTTCACATCAGAGTTCTGAATCCAGGTATTGATTGCATAGTTGCTAAATCTTTTGTATTTTGAAAATGTGTATAAAAATTTTCCCAATCTTAGAACTACCATAATTTCTAATGCATTATACGATATTAAAATTGGCACTCAGGAATATTTATTAACATCAAATTGAGAAATGATGGTTCAAAAGATCACATTTGCGAGTTTGGAGATGAGAACAAGAACCTGATTAACATGTTAATGATTGGGCTGCCAATAAAGCTCCAGTGAAATACGAAGCCTTTTATAAAATATATTAACAATAAGTTTCTTGCTCGTATCTCCGAAATCACACATACATTTTTCACTTACAGTATGAATCAGCCCTTACACTTTTATGGGTGCGGATAGGAAGGATGTCGGGGAGGGGGATATTTTCGGTAGATCCGCACTGATGATCTTCCTGTTTTTAGCAGGTAATCTGCTGATTATACACATTAAATTATGGTACTTATGTATATAGATGTGGGTCGGGTAAATACTCAGTAGATAAGGTATTTACAAGTGGGCATTAACCCAGGTATTTTCCCTTGCCTTTGGTTAATACCTAAAATCAGGGTTTTTATAATTTTTACTGCCTTATAAAGCATACGACCATGATTTGTTTAGCCTATGGTTGTGGAAGTAACATCTTTAATTTTCAAAGATAAACATTAAAATTTAAAATATATTAATTTCAGAAAAAATATTTCAAAAAAGTATAAATGCCCAGTAGAGGAGCTGCATTTTTGCATTAAAAAGTAATGTATAAAGGTTTGCATTGTGCAATGTCTCAAAATAGACATGATGTTAAGAGATTTTAGTGAAGGTTGAGCGCCTTTCAAGAAAATTTTTTTTTCTCCCTTACACACTGGTAGGAACTGGATGAAATAGAAGAAATGAATAATATCAGAGAATGATTTTAAAATTTCTTTATTTGCACTACAGCCCACTCTCTATCCCTGACCTTGATCTTCCAGTCGGAGATCTTTTAAGTTTTTAAGTCATTCAAGACACCATCATTCCACCTGTTTGTTTTATTTTATTGTAAGTTTAATGAAAGTAATAAAACTAAAAGTTTTAAAACTAGAAATTTCATATCTAAATTTTTAAAAAAAATAATTATGAAGCGGATTAGAATAAAGGAATTTTTTTAAAATGTAAGTTTAAAATCATATGGTAACTTGCTTACATCGTGTTTTTTTCTGCATCTTATGAGAAACAATAAAATATTTTTTTTAAAGCTATGGATATGTTAGTGAAATTTTAAAATTTCATTTTAAACGCAAAAAAATACTGTACCAAGTAGTTTTATTTTTTACACTAATGAATTATTTTGCAAACTATGAGAAAAACACTGCCTAACCTTTAGATTGATGTGGCTATATTTGTATCATTTTGCATAATAACAAATGCACATTGTGTCCACACACATTGTCTGTGGTGAAAATTTCTTGCTAGTAATGCTCGTTTTTTTAGTTATAGTTTCCGCTCATTAATTCAGCATTTCTTTGAATTTTAAATATGTTTATTGCATAAACTTCATTATCATGGTAGCGAGTGAAGGGCAAGACTGTGCAATTTATCTGGTGGCCTCTAGCCTGTTATTTGAACTCCAACTATGTAGAGTGATAGAAGATCGATTAATGTTCCGATTTTGGACTAATCTTTTGTGTTCTTTAAGTCAAAGTTTAAGGGTACGTTTAGTTTGCCCAATATACGCACGACGACATTAACATGATATTTGATAAATACCCCAACTATTAATATTATCAATAGGGTCTTTAAGATTGGTGAAATTTTGTTTATTAACAGGGGCAAAAACCCTGTTCCCTATATATCCTATCGTTTGTTCTATAAAGTTTAAAATATACCCTATCCTTTGTAGGATATAAAATTATTTTGTTTCATATTTTATAGAGAAAGAGATGGCGAAATGCGTAGGGGTCGAGGTGGTGGCTTCCGAGGAAGAGGACGACCACGTGGTCGAGGAAACTTCTTTAACACGGATAATCGTCCACCAAGGAGAGATTTTGATCGTCATAGTGGCAGTGATAAAAGGTAATAAGTGTTTTTAATTTATTATTTTCTTATTAATATTTGTTTAACCTTACTTTGTTCTTAAATTATGAATCAGCAAACTTATTCAAACTCTAATCAAATTTAGGGTTCGTAATTGTTCTAATTTCAATGTTCAATGATGAAATATTGATTTTTCCTTATTTGTCCTGAGTTTTAGTTTATTTTTATCTTGCTATTCCTAATTTTTCTGTGTTTAGAAAACTCCATTTTCTAAGAATACCAAATGCAGATTTTAAGAAATAGGTTTGAAGAATCAGAAGATTACAATTTTTGATCCAATATCTTTTTATTTTAATTAATAATGATTATAGAAACTGCAAAGTTCAATCCAATTTTATGGACCGTTTACTGATTATATACAAAGTTTATAATATCTAACAACTATTTTTGTAGTATACCGAAACTAAAAATAAAAAATATATAAATAAAAAATATAAAAATAAATAATAATTTTATATTTTATAAAAATATGTTGAAAAAATATATTTTTTTGATATGAACTATAATAAATGTAAAATTTAAATAACAAAAGGATTCATTTTTTTAATAAATATTTTATGAATAATAATTTTTTAAATAGTGGTACAGACCTGCCAGTATTTCTGCTTTTTTGCGAATCTTGGCCCTCTGACCCTCAACAAGTTTTCTGCTTTGTTTCCCTCTAGCAGATTACTCTGTGTGCTCATCTACCATTTGTATACAACCTCTTTGTATGAAATCTTGATTATGAATTCTTCTGACTTGTTTCTGTGTGACTCTGTTGTTGTAGAAGGGAGGAGGAAAAGCAGAGGCGTTCTGCTAGTAAGCCAATTTTGGTGTAAGTTTCGATCCATAATTTTTTCTCCTCTCGCAGATTGGCTGGAGAATTGTCAACTCAACAGAAGCGAATTAGAATTGCTGCTGTTTTTCACTCTGTGCTGATTTTTGCTTTCCAAATGTCTAATATGTCCGCATTCCAATGCCAAATGTCTAATATATCCCTACAACCAAATGGTACTAAATACAAAATTATACAAATGAAATGTTTGTTAATGTTCATAAGTGAATTATTTGTTTTATTAATGGTAAACTGTTAATGTGTTAGATGGAAATTAAAAATGTCTGACGAGCAGGAAAAATATCAAAACAGTTTTTAACAAAAAGTATTCTGAAAATTTTCCTTGCATCTTACGTTTAAAGAAATGAGATACTTGCATACTCTGTTCTACATGCCAAATGATTTTTCTGTTGCAAATTGAGGAAAGGGTGGAATGTTATTGCTTACATCAATTTAGAAAAATTCAAAATACTGTGAAATTGCTTTAAAAAAAATTTAAAAAAAAAATAATTTGGATTTGATAAAACATTGATTAACAAAACTTTTTGGCCAATCCTGAAAACCAGGAAAACTATACACCTGGGATAGCGATGGTCCCGAGCATCCTGGATAATTGGTTCTCTACTGTATCTATCGATCTATCCATCTATATATTTGTTGAATTTATTCATTATCTGTTTCATTTTCAATTGCAAAATGTATTTTAAAAATTACTTGAATAAAACTTTTTATTGCCAAAATAGTTAAAGTTAACTCAACTTTTAGAATAATTTTCATTTTACTTGTTAACTATTCAACCAGAACTTTTATAATTGAAATTTTTTTAAATTGTTTTAGTGGAATCCGTTCTCTTGATAAAAAAGATGGTGCTGGATCTAATAACTGGAGTGATATGCGTACTGATTTTAAGTAAGATTCATTTATTCTTTGTGAGTTTTAATTCAGTTTCAATTGATAAATAAATTAACTGTTTTGTGTGAAGTCAAAAGTTTGTCTGGGTCAAGATTTAGAATTATTGTTTTTTTCTTATTGTACATGTCTTAATAATTTTCCATATTTTACAGAGGTTTACTTACCATATTTTTGATTGTTAAAATAAAATGTCAATTTTGACAGGGTTTTCAAGGCATAACGTTATCTATTTTTATGTTAAATAAATTTTGTCACAAACTTACAGAAAGATTCTATTTATACAAAGGAATATTTATTTAAATCAGAACTCAAATTCCCTAGAAAATGAATTTTGAAAAAACCAGGCATGGAAAATCTAAATAAGGGCTATAAGTTTTGTAAATAACACACACTGTAAAAGTCAATTATCTTTCAGCCATCCCATTGATAGAGCTACACACACAAATAGAAATCACTCCTCTTTTCCCTCTTGCAACTTACTCTCAAAGCAAGGTTTCTTGGCTCTGCTTATAGCTCACTATATTGGTCAGATCTGGAACTGAATAAGGTGGTTCATTTTTTTATTTTTAAAGTTAAGGTAATCTTTCAGTCAATTATTTAATTTGATATGTTGACTTATATTCAAGACCATTGTCTTTAGTCAATAGGAACTGGATGGGGGACCCTTTCAATGGATCATAGAAAAAGGCTAAAGTTGTAACCACCCACACCACATATTTTTTACTCTCTCTAGAGCCATCTGGGTGCCTTTAGAATTAAAGACATTAACTCGGGTGGTTTTAACATTTAGAGAAAACTACTGAGTGTTACAAATATTTAAAACAGGTAAGGTAATTCACAACAGCTATAGAAATAGAGAGAAAACTACTAAAACACTAATGGTCAAACATCGAAACACGTGTTGACATCCATGAACATTGGGCACAAATTCTTTTTGAAATTAAGAGACCCTGAGAGACGTATCCTTAAAGAAGTTATGCAAGTTCATAGCTAAGGATTATATGTAGTCCATCAGCAATCACAATAGTTTTTAGACAACTGGACTTGAAGGTTTATTCTGTTCTTACTTCACAGGTGCAAAGCTCGCAATAAGTTGATATGCATCACAGCTTTTTTTGAAGAGTACTTAATTAATGTTGCAGCTTTTAATTATTTTTTATCTTTCTCCAAGACAGAGTTCTAGTGATTCAGTTCCGATCGCCTCTTTTACCGATCTGGGATTTTTAAAGTCCTGATATATTAAAAACTTTATTATGACAAGCAACATTTGAAAATACTCATTTTAAAACCGGTTTGTAGAATGTGCTAATTTAACTGCAAAATTATTTATAAATTAAACTATCTCTTTGAAAATTAGATTTTTTTAAATAATAAAATTGAGAACTTAGTATATTTTGAGTTTAAAAGCTATGCAGATTTTTGTGAAATGCAATGCTTCTTTTTGTAATGGATGTTCCTTTTGAGGGGGATATAATGCCCTTTTCAGCTTCTAGCCTGATGCCCTTTTTAAGGTCTAGAATAAAACCTTCCTTATTTTCAAATCCATAGTGTTTATTTTATAATATTAATATGTCCATTAATATTATATTTATTTTACTCTGATTTTATATTTTAAATTATGAAGTATTTTTTTAGTTAATAAAATACAATATTAAATACACTGGTGGACAAAATTAAGAGATGGAAAGCATTTTCGCACATTTCTCTAAACCTGGACAGTTGATTGCCATATATGGTCACTGTAGCGCTATTGGCCCTGAGATAAGTTTACGTATTCTTGTGGGCGTTGGTAAGCCAGCAGGTGAAGAGACAGTTGCAGATTTTAGTGCATTTTTTGAATAATCTTGTTGTTTCTTGCTGGGTTTTAGGTGAAATGAGTGAACATCATCGTTTACGACGAAGGTATGAGGTGGAGAATTGTGGGTAGACTTGAGGCAGGTCAGTTCCAAGCTCAGATTGCTAGGGAATTGGATATAACACCAAGCGTTATTTTCAACTTGTGGAGTAAATTTAAAACTAGTGGGACAGTATGCAAACGACCAGGACAAGGTCGTCCGAGGGCTGCAACGGCCAATGAAGACCAGTATTTGTTCCTTTCAGCTAAGCGCCAGAGGACGGTTACAGCCACTCAATTGTCTAGAGGCCTCGCGGCTGCTATAGGATCATCAATTTCGAGTAAGACAGCTTCCAGGAGACTCCATGAAAGAGGGCTGTATGCCAGGAAGCCCGTTATTTGCATCCCAATCACTCCCTCCCACAAAATAGTGCGTGCAGAATGGTGCAGACAACAGCAGTATTGGTCACAGCTTCAATGGGTTAATGTTCTTTTCACCGATGAGTCCGGATTCAGTCTACAACCTGATTCTGGACGGTTATTGATATGGAGGGAACCTGGAACCCGATACCATCCCAGCAACATTATCGAAAGGGACCATTATGCTGGTAGAGGACTCATGGTTTGGGCAGGTATCATGCAAGATACCCGCACACCGCTCCATATGTTTGACAATGGTTCCGTGAATGCCCAGAGGTACAGGCAGGAGGTCCTAGAGCCCTATGTGCGTCTTTTCAGGGGTGCTGTTGGTCCTGAGTTCATTTTTATGGACGACAATGCGTGACCACATAGGGCTCTCATGGTTGATGAGTATCTGGAAAGCGAGGATATTCAAAGAATGGATTGACCAGTCAAATCCCCTGACCTAAATCCTATTGAACATGTTTGGGATGCTCTTTGATTGAGCTATTGCGATGCGCCAACCTCCCCCCAGAAACATTCTGGAGTTAAAAATTGCTCTGGTGGAAGAATGGGAGGGTCTTCCACAAGTCCTCCTTAACTCCCTTATTTACAGCATGCATACTCGTTGTGCATGCTGTCTGTCTGTCAGGAGTGACCATACACCATACTAGAGGCAACACTCACTGTAGGAGCCTCTCTTTTATTGTCATCTTTTATCCTTAAGTTCACACTACATTGGATTTATTGGCAATAGGTCTTGCCAGTGAATGGCACTTTCATTTTTGTTTTGCATACTTTATTATCATGGACTAAGCTATATCCATACCAAATTTCATTTATTTATATTCAGTATTTTTTGAGATATTTAAGAAAATGTCTTCCGTCTCTTAATTTTGTCCACCAGTGTATTATCTGCACGATACAGGGTAAATATTAGACTTACAGGGAAAGAAAGTAAGGCAATTTGAAAATGTCTGAACATCCTGCATATGACATCTCTTATTATTCAAAGTGCCCATTCCACATGAGTTTCTTTCAACATGCATATTTTAAAAATTCATTTACGAAATATTTAATTAAAATTTAAAAAAAATGTGAAAACTTTTTAATCAAAATATATTAGTCTCTTTAACAACCCAATGCTACTAAATACAAAATTATACAAAAGAAAAAGTTTAACACACTGATGGTTCTGTACTTAAAAAGTTGTATTTTAACCTGCAGTCTTCCCCACATAGGTAAACTGGTTTTTCCATGTTATTAGATAGAGAAATTATGTATAGGGGAGAAACATTCTTCCAATTTTGCTCTTTTGGTAAACCACTGGTGGGTTCAGCTCCATTACAGAATAGTTGGTTTAAGTAAATAACTTAAGATTATTAAAGTTTTAAAGTGAATTATTAATATGAGAAAATAAAATTTCCAGGATTATTTAGTATAAAAAAAGATTGGCTAAGATTATGGTAAACATGTTTGGGCTACCAAATTAATCCCTTGTTGCATGCTTTCCTAGAAAGTAATCCAAAAGAACTATTAAATAAGATATTATTTAAACCCTAATCTTTAAAAAAGAATTAAATCAAATTTTGGCTTTATTTTGATTATTTATTTTATTCAAGATAATTATTTTTTCTTTATTGCAACATATAGACAATAAACCTCAATTGTTTTATATTTTTTTCTACTAACTGTACAAAAAAGCTAATTAAAAATCCTGACACATGGTTGTTTACATTTTCACATTGCTACCTTGATACATTCATCAGAATTAATTTACAATTTGTGAATACATAAAATGTTAATTTTTTTAAAGTTTTTATTGTAGTGTTAGATTAAATAATTTATTTCCTTATTGCAGTAGTCGTAAGCGGGAACCAGACTCCACATGGGATGAGGAATTCGAGTAAGTTTATTTTACAATAGTGTTTCAAGTTCATTTTATTTCTCATTTTTTTTAAATATTTTACATTAAGCATACATACAATAAAATAATATTTTTATAAAATTTTCAATAAAAGACTCTAATATCTGTAGTTGTGAACTGGTTTTTGGAGACCTGTTACAATAAGTATCATATCCTGACTGGTATTCACGTAATTATAAAATTAAACATTGTGATTCGTAATCATGGTGTTTTAGAATCATGGTGTTTTAAAAAGAGAAATTTATTCTAAATTAGATAATTAAGAAAATATCCTAAGATAATTTATTCCTTTGAAAAAGCTGTATCAACGAAATAATCAAGCAACTATGTCAGTGGGATGACAGGCAATTGAAATATTTTTGACAATAGTTCACAGTCCAGGGTAGAAGTGACTGATGTTACCTTGATGTCCTAAAGTCTGCAAGACTATCTACATTCTGGAAGCTAGCTTTCAAAGTTTCATTAGTTAAAAGTTCGACCAATTCCTCCTGAATCAAAACCTTTGCTGCTTCAATATTCACAAAAGGGTTCATAACCGATTGAGGGACTTCCAGGGACAAAACATCTTTAAAACGGTCAGAATAGTCTATGTGCAAATAATCAAAGTGTGGACAGTATTCTTGTGTATCAACAGAAAGAATTTCGCTGGTCTTTTTAAGAACTGATAAGATGGGAAATTGGCTGAGCTCATTTCTACCAAAATTCTGCTTCCACTAAATTAGTTTTTTTTTAGAGGGGTAGAAATTGGCTTTGTAGTGATCAAATTGAGCTCCTCACCTTGAAGTTATAAATTAGCGCCATTAAATTTTGCAAATAAATCTTGTCATGTTTGCAAGGTCTATCTTAAATTCTAGCAATCTGTCTCTCAGAGCTACATCTCTGCCTTCAAGGAACTCAAGCACAGAGTTGAAAAGATTCAAAAACTTATTAAGGCAGACACCTTTGGAAAGCTAACGAATCTCGGCTTGTAGTAGCAAGCGATTGAATTCCTCATCGTTTTTTTACACAGCTGTCATTGAGAGCATTACTGCGAATTTTATTCACAGCAGAGATGACTGATGCAAGCGGTTGTTGAGATTTTTTCCAACTATATGCTGTCTGTGAATTTTGCAGTGAACAGCTAAAATATCAGATTCCTCCTCAAAAGGGCAATAAATCAAAGATGTGGACCCACCATTACAGGAGCTCTATCAGGGGTTACAGACATAACATTTGCAAGAGGAATATTTTTCTCTTTAAAATAATCTTTGACAGTATTAAAAGTAGACCTCTAAAGAGTATGGAAGAGTCAGGAAAAAAAGAAATTTTTTAAAAAAAAAACCCCTGGAAAACTCTTATACACCTGGAAAACAACCAGTCTCAAAATTGTCAGTAACAGTAATCAGTTATTGCGATTAGAGTTAAGTAATTCTGACATCTATAACAACTATTTGTTATAAAAATTTCACATTTTAGTGAAACTTCAATGTTTCTATCTTCATTCAATGATATTTCTTTGCTCGCAAAATCTAATATTTGACATTGCAAGAAAAAAATCAAAGTTGTCTGATAAAAAATTGCATGGTATAGATAAAATATTATTTAGATTTTCATTAAAATTTTCGTGATATTTTTGGAAAGTCAGAATTATATTTCTGAGGTTGAGTGGGAACCCCGATTTATCACATTTTCAACATTTAGACAGATTTACTGCGATATTTTACTTTTAGAATTCTGGTTGTACATATATTAAATTGGAGATTACCTTGGAAAAACTCTATTACTATAAAGTGTTGACGAAATGACTTCACGATTTATTTACACGATTTATTTACAATTTAATGATATCAAAAATGAAAATAATAAATTATCAAATCTATCACACCTCCCATTCCTAACATTTAGCCTTTTATTTGTGCTGCGGCGCTAACTTATTCAAAATTCATTATCTCAGCATGTGTACCCAACAATATGATATGTTAGAAATTATTTACATAATGAAAAAATAGCAAAACATTATATATGTATTTAAAGTTTAAACTTTTAACTGTGGTAGAGTGGTAAAAAAATCCTCAAAAATACTATACTCAAATTTTAATTACTCTTACATAAAAACACTTTTCTACAAAATTTCTTAATTTAAATTGAGATAATGGTTTAGTGAAAACATCTGAGAAATTATTTTTACCCTTTACAAATTTAACCTCATGGGCATTTTTATAAAAAAGTTCTTTTACATGGTGGTACCTTATTCCAATATGTTTGGTTTGATAATTTTCTATTGGAGATTTAAGAAAGTCGATAGCTGCCTGATTATTGGCTATTAATGTTGGTTTCCGATGTCTAAATTTGAAATATTTTGAACACTCACTAAGAATGTTATTCAGCAAAGTAAATTCTTTAATACTTTCTATCATAAACTCTGCCTCGATTGTAGACAAACTCACTGATGTGTCTTTAAAGGTTCTCCTTGTTATCCTCCTATTATAGATACTCTCTTCTCGGTTTGCTTAAAAAATCCACATCTGAAAAGCTTAAAGACCACTTCCTTTACATTCCAGCTTTAACTTATAATTTCAGGCTTTGCTAATGTATCACAACAACTTCAACAATCCATTCAACTGTTCCAATTCGGGATTATTTTAAAACTGATAGAAAATATGTACTGCATAAGATATGTCAGGTCTGGTCTGACCTGCTAAAAGTTTCAAACATCCTAAAATGATTCAATATTTCAATTTACCCATGCAATTCTGCTCATCACTATTTTGTAGATACTGACGCTTACTAAATACCCTTTGAAATGGGCGAAGATGTAATGGGTAATTTTAAACTCTCATAATTCTTACATATTTCCTCAATATAGGGAATTCATTGTATAACTAAACATCCATCTAACTCATCAAATTCCACCCCTAAAAGACATTTAGTTTTCTGAAGAACTTTAATATCTAATTTGTGTTTTAACTTACTTAATACTTTGTGTATATCACTCTTAGTCTCGCCAAAAATTATTATATCATCCATGTAAATGGAAAGTATTCAACTATTATAAGTACATATACAACTATTTAAACCAATTTCACTTAAAATTTTAGTTTGCTCAAAATATCTGGCTCTCCCACTTTCTTGTAATCCACGTGTTTTAATCTGCATACAAAACTCTCTTTTCCTGTTTAATCATAAACTCCGGGATTTGTTTCACATAGATTTCTTCAGATAATGGGGCATATAAGTATGCTCCGGTTATGTCACATTGTAAGTGTTTTCACCCTAACCATACTACAAGCAATGAAGAAAAAAATCTTACAACTGAAAAATTTACCATCAGAGGAAAGTTTCTTCATAACTCTCACTTTTAATTTGGGGTGTACCCCTGAGCAAACAATCAGTTAACAACTTGGTTTAACCCTGTTTTACATTATAAACTCATCTACTACCAAGCCTGTGCTTATTTGGAGGTAGCTCTATTAAAACTCACACATTTCTAGATTTTAAGTTCTCATACTCTTCATCCCTCACCATTTTTCAGGACGAAAACTGTAGTGATTTTTCCATCTGCTTGTAAGTACGTGGTATTATCACATCTAGTTATGTCTCATTTTCATTTATTGATCTTATCTATATCCCTGATACACTGGGATTTGATGTTACGAACCCTTCAAGTTTATTTCTACCACTAAAGTCAAATACTTTGCGAAAAACAAGATTTTGATGTTTACAATAATCTTCTACTTCTCTTATTAATTTAAGTTGCTTACCCTTTCCGGACTCAGCAATAGATGAAATGCTAGAACAATTGGGTCTGGGTATTGCTGCTCTTCGGCACAATGATTCCTCAGGATTTCTTGAGTCTCTTAGTTTATCACCTTCACTCTCGTTTTCTGAAGCACTAGATGTATCGCATTCTGTTTTAGATGAGATTGAACTTTCCAGTTTTGTCACTTCATCTTCATTATCTTCTTGACTAACCCTTGGATAATCGGGACAAACGGGTGCCAGCACTGTTCCATTAGACTTCTGCTGAAACTTAGAAAACACAACATCGCTACTTTAAATTACCCTGTGTTCCTCCGGAATCCATATTTTATACCTTTTCGTTTCAATCAAATATCCTATCATAATGCCCTTTACTGCCTTAGGTTCTAATTTTCCTCTCAAAAGTTTAGGTGTTCAAATATACACTTCTGAACTAATACTTTGAAAATGACATACTGTAGATATTTATCCAGTGTATATCTCAATGGGAGTTTTTGATAGACCTGTATGATATTCCAGACATAAACAGAATATAAAAGTGCATCTAGCTAAATTTTTTTTATCTAATCTACTCTTTGTTGAAATAGTACATGTTCTATTGAGCACTTTTTTATTTAACCTCTCAGCTGACCCATTTTGTTGTGGTCTGTAGATGTTTGCTTTTTGATGTTTTATACCTTTTTTCTAACACAACTGTTCAAAAAACTGATTTATAAATTCACTACCGTTATCTGTATGAATTGTCTTTACTTTTCGGTCTAACCATCTTTCAGCCCAATTTATGTGTCTTACAAACATATCAACTGATTTGTGACATTATATGCTTTATCATTAGCAGTATTTTTCCCATCTTACATCTACTTTATATCTCATTTACATCTACTTTAGGATAAATATAATACAACCCATGTCAAGTTTAGCTTTAAACATTAATGAATCCTTCTTATAAACTTTAATTTCACCATTTTGCCCTACAAATTTAAAACCATACTTATGAAGCATAGGACCAGATATTAAATTTTGTCTTAATTTAGGTAAATAAAAGTTTTTTTTATACATTACGTTCAGTATTACCAAAATAAACTTTTACATTTCCTTTTCTTTCAATAGAACAACTTACATTATTTACAGCTAAAACTAAACTTTCCTTTTTAACATTTTCAAGTGCAACAAATAAACTTTTATTGTTACAAAAGTGATTACTTGCAGCGGTATCTAAAATCCATGCACTATTATTCACATTTCTTGTTAAATTGGCTTCCTCCAGAAAAAGTGTTGAAACATACTTTAATGATACCTTTTTCTTGGAGCTTTCTCTCAGGTGATAGGTGATACACTCTTTTTACTTTGGTTACCTCTGTTTCAATACCTTGACCTGGCACACCATGATGATGATGTCGGCGATACCTTGTGCTGTTTGTGATCGTATTTTGATGATACATAGATGCTTCGCCAAATCTGTGATTACAATATTTCCGCAGTAGGTGACCGTATCTTCCACAAATATAACATCTGAGTCTTGATCTCTGGAGATGAAACATTTCCGGTTTTGCACTTTTGTCTTCTCTGTGTCTCAAATATTCAATTTTGATTCTTCAATTATCAGTTTCACTAGGATCTTTTCATGGTGAAAATTTTCATCCTTCCATCTTAATATTACTTGAACTATAGGGTTGAATTTTGCCGGCAGGTTTCTCAGCAACAGAAAACTTCTTCTACAGACTTTTCCATGGCTTTAATTTGCTTTGCTATTCGTTCAACCTCAATGAAAAAGTAATTTGTTCATTTTGGAGGCACTTCTTTGGATTATAATTCATTAAACAGCTACATGTGAAACGATCTAATATCAGGCCTAAAGTTTTACTTCAGTATTTTCCATACTTCTGCAGGATCATCCATATTCTCAATCACTTTTCTATAACTTTCACTTGTATTTAGGTACAATATCGATAACGCTAACTTCTGTCTGACTTTGAAGTCATCAACCTCACGCTTTCCAGCTTCTTCTTTCCCTTCTTCTGGTACGCTTTCCTTTCCGTCAACAATATCAAAGCAGTTCTTTTCTAACAATAGGAACCTGACATCTGTCGACCTTGTTGCATAATTGGTTGAGTTTTGTGGAGTTATCTGGTAGGTAGCCATTTTTACTTTAATATAAATCCTTCTTTGAAAATCAGAATTTCTATACCCATTCACCCCCTTCGTCTTCCAGGCACATTAGTCTGCAGTATTTTCCAATCTTCCGTTATGGCATTGCTATGCTCATAACCCTTTGTTTCCCTTTAGGTGGGAAAGGAGCAGAGTAGCAGTGAAAAGTCATACCTGAATGAAGACTTAGTTTTAAAAATAAATCATAATTTATTTATCTCAAAAAACTTTCAAACAATTAACTTTCAAAACAATTAGTTAAAAAATCTTTTTCTGGCATACTGGTGGATATTCCGTAACAACGTATTTGCCCTCCGGCATCTTCCTAACTCGCTAACCTACCGTGAAGAGTGTGACCAACATAAAGAATAAAAACGAAGATAGAAATTGTTTTGAAAACACCTTATAAATCAAGCGGTGAACCTTCCCGAAGCTCTGGATAAGTGTCGATCACTGATAGAGTTGAATGACCGCCATCCAGTGCCACGAGTTACATCACTCTCTTCATGAGTTACGCCACTCTTCGTCCATTCCAGTTGAAACGTAAACAAAAGCATCGGTAACGCAGGTTGTTGAATTTAATTCAATATTCTAATAAATCGAACTTAAAATATCCTTGTTAGGAAATTACTAAATATAGGGGATGGGACCATTCTTTCCAGCATTATATATATCTAAGAATGTTGAATAGCTAATGTTTAATATCAGCAGTGTCCACATTGGTAGTCCTTAAAAAAGGTCTTTAAGAACTCCTTAATTTTTAATTCGGAGGATTTGTATAATCATAATCTCTGAAGCTTCATTTCACTCGTTTCTAAAACTATTTGATAACTGAGCGTATCTGGGTTGTGGCAGATTGTATTCCTTGCTGTAAAATCATGAATGTTTGTGATGAAACTTGACATTTAAATTTGAATGTTTCATTTATTGCTGTTGTCTTTGTGATTTAAAAACATTGCCGCAACAACAAGACATACTCCTTTTTTTAAATAAATGGATTTTGTTTAAGCTTGGCTAATAAAACATCCGTATGGTTATTCAGCTCCCTTATTTCTCAGACATGAGTCGATGTTACTTTTTTCTACTTTCAATATTCTGCTCCTTGTATCCAGCCAGTTGAAGATTCTATTGTTCAAGGTAATTTTAAACCTAGCAAAAATAAGAGCTTTAATATTGAATTTTTTTCACTACTCGATATTTATGCGTTAATAATTCTAAGAGATCTTTATTTCTGAACATGAAAACTCTTAGGTTAGTCGATTAAAAAAACATCACAAACAATCATAATACTTTTCAAAATTGTAATAAGAATGATACCCAGCCAGCAGCAAACAGTGCAGAAACCAACAAATTCAGGAGGGTAATTTATCTAACACCCTCTTACATTTTATATTAATTAGAACCCCATTCATAAAATAGGAATATTGTTAGACATACTTCTGAAGATAAAAATACCAAATGATTCTTTATTTTAAATGCTGTCACAAAGCTTTAAAGGATTTATTAAATTTATTTCCCTACTATACAACCCTAAATAGTAATATAGATATAAATTGGTTTTTCACAACTTTTCTAACCAGATTGTACATTTAAAAAGTTAATGTTTACTAAATTTTTTTTTTGGTATTGAGTTATATCGGAGTTCTAGATATTGAAAGATATTTTCTGCTCTAGTTTCATTGCTGTTTGCTAGTCTTTTGATTTTCTGTTTGAAGGTGTAAATTAACTATAAGGTAATTTCAGACCATACTAAAACTTCAACTACATGGAAAAAAGTTCTAAAATTTATAGTGCTTGTGATATATTACATGTTATATATTTACAGACTCCAATTACTACAGATTCTTCATAGTTTCTGCACAGTTTCTTCTGTTACTATAGACCAGGGGTCGGCAACCTGTTTGTCCTTAAGGGCGCAATACTAAATTTGAAAATCACCGAGGGCGCATATTTTACAGATAATCATGCACAATCCTAAACTCAACTGACTACTTGCTGTATATCGCCGTTTGACAAGAGTTAAGTAAATCACTCTGGCTATCATACATTTACATTAGTCCAGCGAGGGCGCATTAAAAATCGATCGGGGGCGCCATGGCGCCCGCGGGCGCCGCGTTGCCTACCCCTGCTATAGACTATGGAATTTATTACCCATTCTACGAAAAATTAAAAATTTTTCCTGCATTTGTTTATTGTGTTTTGGGGTATTTTCTAATGGCTTTCAAATTCCAAAATATTTATTACAATATAATGAAACGCAATTCACGAATATATGTGATTACTTTTTGATGCACTCGATTCATGACCATTCCCTCATTTTACAATTGTTTGTCAGCATCTATTCTAACATACATGTAAATTCCCTCCAACTACTATGGAATTTTTGTACAGAAATAAGTTGTAAAATATGGAATTATAGATGTGAAGTAAAAAGAAACTATGGATTGAAATGGAAATACCGACTGATAAGAAACTCTATATCTTTTGGTCAATTATTATGACAAAGGGAAACAAACATTTTAAAGATGTAGGTGACTGATTTACTGTCTGTAAAATATTTTATACCCATGTTTAGCTGCTCGATAGACGGTGATCAATATTAGAAGTAGAATTTGCTTTTTTTTTTCAGTCTGATTATCTTACTTATGAAATTTTAGGAATCAAGATAATCGACAAAGCATGGCTCATAATTAGCCGATTAAAAAATAGTAATGACAGTAAAGAGTACATGGCATTGCTAAAAGTAATGCATCAGTACCACAAAATAATGCTAGAACTAAAAGAATTTTTAGCATGGACAGGAAAAATCAGACGGAAGCTCCTACGAGCATGAATACTAAAATTGTAGAGTCTCTTCTCATTACAACATTGAAAATGAGAATTTGTTATGATGCTGAATTGAGTAATGAAGGGTTAAAAAAAAAAGAGAAATGCTCTTGCTATATATTACAAAATATTTCCCTCATTTAATAAGTGTTGAATAGCCTTATCAATCTGTTGTTCATAAAATAAAAAAAAATAAATTTTTTAAGGTGTCTGTTTTAAGAAGAGTCAGTTCATAAAATAAAAAAAGAAATGTATTTTTTATTATAAAAATATCTAGATTTATTTTGCTCAAATTATTACTGCTGTTTTGGCAAGCACTGTAACTAATGTTTTTGTATTTTACTATTAATTTGATATACTTTTATAACATTCTTATCTTTGATTAAAACCTTTGATTGATTAAAACTATTAATCTAACTTAATATTGAAAGGTCATCTGGTGATAAGCTGAATGATTCAACCTGGGATACCACTCCTGAGACTTTGTAAGTATAGTTATTAAATGTTTCAAAAATTTGACATTTCTGTAAACTGATAGTTTGCATAGTGCCACATTAAAAATCAATATTCTATTTTAAATTTTATTTTATTATCAATATTCTATAAAAAATGCCACTATCACCATTGACACCCAATTGCCATAAAATTTTATGATATGGCAGGCATCATCTTAATTTCCCCGGCAAGCTGATACCCAATTAACTGGAAATGTGTAGACTTCAAGCCATCACCGATGAAAGATTTTTATCTTTTATATGAAGAAAAGAGTATTTCCCTCTAGTTATCTGTTCTGACATATTTTAAGTAGCAGCTGAAAGTTCTGCAGCCTAGAATAAAATGTGTTTGTCCATTATATTCCTTTTTGATATCTGAATCTTTTTATGTGATGTCTTTATTTATGAAATTATTTCTTTCAAAAAATTGTTAATTTTCAACTTAAGTTGCAAATATAAGCGTTATAAAATGTTTTTAATGAATAAGTCAGAACCGAATCATAAATGAAATTTATGCCTCCCCCAGAATTGAAAAAAAAAAGGATTTTTCTTTTCTATTAAAAGAAGCATTTTTTTGTTTTGTTTTGGTTTAAACCAGGTTTCTTTTTGGTTTAAACTGATAGTGTTTATTTAACAAAGTTATTAGTGTTAAAACAAAAGGTTATATAAATATTTTTGCCCCAAATTAAAAGTAACTAAACCCTTCAAATGCATTTCACAGAAATCTTTTTTGACTATGATTAATATTTTTAGTAAAGAATTAAAAAATCTTCACTTTTATTCCATAAATATGCGAACAAGATAAAGAAAAATTTGAAAATGCTTAGTTAATACTCCACAACCCTACTTAATATATAAATAAACATTTGATATCTAAATATTATTTTAGAAGTGCATCTTTGCTTAGGTAGTGCATCTATGCTTTAGAAGTGCATTTATGCTTTAGCTTTCAGATATCTTATTTCTCCAGAATGCAAAATATTATGTAGTTCATAAAAGATTAAACTGGATTGCATTTAATCCTTTTAGTTGTAGCTTAAATTATTTTCTGTTATTCCAAAAGTGGGGAAAATAATTTTTTTGTAATATCTGGCATGGTGTTTAAATTTCAATTTGTATATCAAAGTTAGATGCTATGTTATACATGAATGGTTTTTTTAAAACTTATATTAATTTTATTAGTGCTCCAAGTCCTGGCAAAGAAGAAATTCCTGTTGAAAAAACTGAGGAACCATCTACTAATGAAAACAATGAATCAAAGTAAAAGTTTCTTTAATATATATATAAATTTATTTACTTCACCTTTTATTTCCTGTATTATTATGATAAAAGGATTTTATATTAATTTTATGCATTGTTTATTTATATGCTTTAATTTTTTTCATAAATATTTTCATCCTAATAATAATTCTTAATAATTTCATAAATATTTTTGTAATTCTTCATAATAATTCATGGCCGTCTGACTGTTAGCATTCTGAGGAGAAAACAAGGTTATGGCTAATTAGGCTAATTATCTGTGGCCTGCAATTCTCATAGGAAAAAAAATGCATGCCAAGAGATTTATCTTGGCACAATTAAACTCAATTTGAAAATAAAAGAAAAAAGTTCTCTCAGAAATTTTTTTGGAATAGAAGGAGAGAATGAAAATAATTATGAGTATCAAATTTGCTGCTTTTTCTTTATAATGCTACTGTCAAAATCAGTCTTAATTTAAAACTTTGGTTTCAAATATAACTCTTTCCTCTTCTTTTGAATTCTTTGTTTTGTCTATCAATAGAAGGGATTATTATAAACAGATATATTGGTAGATTGATGAAAAAAGTCGAAAATTTATCTTTTGCTTTATATCACAAATTATATTTTATCTTTTTTTTCTTCATCTTGTAGACTTCATTGGATTCTAGTGGAAGACGTGTATTATTTTAAACAGGGAGTCGCTTTTAATAACTAAAAAACTCAAAATGTGGATGTCCCAAGTCCTTAAGACCTTCAAAGTCTAGTGGAAAAGTCTAGCGGACTTTCCAAAGTCTAGTGGAAATTGCATTTAATTATTATAATTTACATACCTCGTATGTATTCTTGTGTGCAAAAAATTTTTCATCTTAAATTTCTTTTATAGGTGCCTTCACTTATCTCTTTAATACTTATTTTTTATTGTTTCTTAATAAATCCGGTTTTTCTTTTAACACAATAAAGAAATGTTTACATTATAATTTAGATAATCTGATATGAAACACGAAGTATCCATCAGAGATTTTAGTGAACATTACAGTGGGATGTAACGTGGGAACAACTGAGGCATATGTAATGTATGACATGTCTAAGGTTCAAAATAAGTGGTTGTAATTCATACCTAAAAATTTTAATTTAATGCGAGAAAATTGCAGTCAGTTGTCATTATTGACGTTTAACTTTTAAAATACCCTTGCTCCCTGTATTCTGCTCCTGGTCAAGCTAGTAGTTTTGTACATTACACTTATTTTAATAATAATATCATAAGGTCATCAGTAATAGAAAACCAAACTTAGTTATACTACAGAGCACTACACACATGCACTACAGAGCTGGATTTCGTGCTTTTAAATGGTGCAACTTTAATCAGCTCTACCTTTTTTAACCCCTTTCTTCAGGCTCCCGTGAAAACGACGAAGTGAGGTTTCGCCCTCTATTTCGCGCTCCCATGATATTGACGGGCAGGTTTGTACAGTAGTAACGCACCAATAAGAATAAAACTAATTCATTTCTTTTGCCCGAAAAACATTTTATTTCTCATTTTACGTACCAGATAGCAGTACCAGAATATTTTTAGGGTAATTGTGGAAGAGATGAAAATAAAAGAGATATAAGAAGGAAACTCGGTACTATTGTCCAGATTGTGACCTGGGCTTCTGTATCTGGTGCTTTGAAATTTATCATACAAGAAAGAAATACTAATCTTTATTTATTTTATATGTAAGTTTAATAAAATTCTTTTTTAATGTTTAAAACACATATTTTTTAAATTTTCCTAGCTTGCTGGAAAACCAACATTAAATCATAGTCTTTTCCTAAAAATTTAATTTTTAAAAATTTCAATCTAAAAACAAATCAAAAATTAAAAAGGAATATATATATATATAAATTCATACACATATTTTTATATAATTTTCAGGGCTAAAAAAAATAGGCACTTTTATGACCGTTTTCTTAAAAATTAACCGATCGTTAAGGGGTTAAGGGTCCAAATGCAATAATTTCATTTTTATAATTTTTTTTACCAGTTTCTATATTCTTTTTAGTGTTATAATGGGTTTAGAAGGAGTTTTATTTAGAAAAATGTTATTGACCAGTTTTTGTGATGCAAGTTAAACTTTTGATTAGCTCTTACTTTTGCTTTTTACCAAGTTTTTGCACTATTTTCATTATTTTAGATATAACTTATGATAATATAAAAAAAGTAACACTGTGGCTTTAAAAACGACTGTTTTGTATGAAAAGTTATATGAGGATCACAGATTTTAATGTTCATTTTTGTCAAAAAGTTCATGAAAAATGGCTAAATATATTTTTTCTTCGAATTTTTGGATCAAAACTGCAATTAAAGGCAATTTTGAAATTTGACTCTAAGAAAATGTTATAAATAGAGGTGGTAGCTCTGATAAATAGTATGTCAAAAATGTCTTAAATCTTTCTTTTATTAATGAGCCAATATTCTTTTCTTTCTTTTTTAAAAACACAACTCACTAAATTTTTAAAGGACTTTTGGTATCGCCCAAACAACCTAAGAGTCTTATATATTAACTGATTTTTGTAGAAAATTTTAAATTTCCTTAAAAATCCAAATCTGCACGCTGGAAACCTTGTCTTTAAGAGTAGCAGTTATTAGTATTTAATCATTTATAATTTGCTTTGTGTTTTAATTTTAAAAATAAAATTTGTTTTAAATTGAGTTATTTATTTAGAGATCAATTTTTTTTCTGATACTTTTACAAATACTTAAAGAGCTTTAGATTTACATTGAAAAGTGATGTTTAGAAAGTAACAGGCATGCCACTGCTCCTGCTTCCCCTAAAATCAACTACATTAACTTTTTTAGCTGCTCTCTTATTTACTTTCAAAAATGTCAAATTTAAGCCTGAAAACAGATGAAAATGTGATTGTGCAGGGTTCCTACAGAGTCAGGAAACCCTGCAAAAGTTAGGATATTCTAAAATTAAGCTAAAAAGTCAGGATTTTTCTTACATATTCATAAAGTCAGGAAAAAAATCAGGATTTTTCTTACATATTCATATAGTTAGGAAAATAAAAAAAAAACTATAGTTCATTCAAAGACTGACAGGAATTTTTGATAGGGTTGCTAGGCTTATTGCTCTTTGTGTGAATAACTGGTTTACAGACAACAGTTAAGAAAATTTCCTCTTTCTTGTACATGGAACATTTGTCTTAAAAGGTACATAGAAGAGAAAAAAAATTCTCAGCCAACCGGAATCTCAATAAAAAATGTCGAAGACCGTGTTAAAGATCCGATAATGCTACCAAAATAGCATTCTTTAAGCTAATTTCTGAAGAATTTCAACCTTTTCTTTTAAATTTTCAAACCTCCAAACCTCTCAGTCCATACTTATATTCAAGTATATTGGAACTAACACAAAATCTTTTGCGGCGTTGTGTAAAAAAGTCGGTTATAGACAATGCTACAACTGCAAAAAAAATAGCAAGTATTGACTTAACAAGCAATGACAATCTATTAAGAGTTAATAATGCGAATATAGGTTTTGCAGCAAGTAAATATCTGAACATGATAAAAGTTAGTGAGAAAGAAAAGGGATATTTTAAGTTAGAATGGCTAAAATTCCTTTTGACGACGGTCGAAAAAATGCTTGAAAAAAGTCCATTGTTGTGTAGTATGACACATGGCATTTCAAGTTTAGTTCCAGAATTGATCATTCAACATCCATCCATTGCTCAACAAATGATGGATACTGTCTGGAAATTCTCCATGTTAATAACTGTGTAGCTGAAACAACAGCAGAAAAAGCAAAAAAGGAATTTTCACTGTTTTGTGATGCTGCCAAAAAAAAAGAACAACAAAAGAGTTTCTTAGAGTTTAATCCACAGCAACAGAGATTAGATAATTTTTTTTCGAAATATTTGCACCGAGAAAAAAAACTTGAAAATTTGTGGGAGGTTATAAAAATTGTTCTTATCCTCTCTCATGGTAGCGCAACAGTCGAAGGGGGTTTTTCAATCAATAAAAGCTTATTGGTTGAAAACCTCAATGAAGACTCTATTATTTCACAAAGACGTGTGCATGATTATGTTTCATTTATGAATGGAATAAGAAACATAGACATTAATGAGAAAATGCTAGATGCTGTAAAAGGATCTAGAACAAGATGGAGACANAAAAAAAAAAAAAAAAAAAAAAAAAAAAAAAAAAAAGGAAAAACAAAGAGAATAAAAAAGCTGAAATTTCTAGAAAACGAATAAAAGAAGAGATAGATGATTTGAAATTAAGAAAATCTAAATTGACGAAAACTGCTGCAACAGAACTGGATGTTCTTGATTCAAAAATTGTCAAACAACCAAATATGTTAAAAAATATTATATAACATAGGAGCCCCTGAGTTTCTCCGGAAGCTTAATGTATTACAGAAATAAATTTAAAAATACTGAAAAAAAAGAAGATATTTTTGATTTTATTTTTCTGACAAGTTGCATAACTTTTTTATCTGAATTTTTATTTGTATATAATTAACTTTTCTTGACTTTTTTCCCCTTTATATTTCAATATTTAAAAGAAAAGTCAGTTTGAAGTGAATTGGTGATTTTAAAAAATTAATAACTTAATGTAACAAATGTTCTAGTATGTTTTAAGAGTAAATATTATTTGAGGATATTGATACATATATCGCAGATTTGATTAGCCCTTTATATCCTGACGACACTTATGCATTTGGTTCCACTTAACATTAAATAAAATAATATTTCCATAATCCAACAGATTTTCTTGATCTTTTTATTTAAATAGTTTTCGTATCTAACTACAAAAACATACTAAAAGTTTAATCTAATCATGAAAATTAAATACATGTTTCACAAGTTTTTTGAAAATATAATTTGGGATATAAAGTACTATTATGCAATTCTACTTTAATATATAAGTGTTTATCCAATTCAATATATGATACTTATGACTAAGTAGTATATTACTACTAATTGAAACTGCAATGTTAAAAGTTTTGTTGGAATGGGAAACGGCGGGTCAGGAATTTTATTGTAAAAGGTCAGGAAAAACCTGCAAAAGTCAGGATATTGTTTTCTCAAAATAGTGTAGGAACCCTGTTGTGCTTCCTTGCCATAATCATGTCTGCTATTGGTCACTCAAATAATAGATTTGATGCAGTTGAATATTTGAAGAGATAAAACTTTATACGCAGGTTTCATTGATTAATCACATTTCATCAGTCAATGCAAATTTGTTTTATCTAAGTCAGTTTGCCTAAGAGAAAGCTCAAATGTCCAAACGGCAGAACACTCAGAAATAGAAAAACAATTATTCTAAGATGAAAAATTCTTTTGAAATCTTTTTAAGCTTCATTTAATCATGGTTGTACTTGTTTTGCCTATGTGGAAAGAGATAGTGGGTGTCTCGGGACATGCTTCAAGCATGACCTTAAAAATTATATTGAATGGTAAATCAACAAATCATGATGTATGATTGTTATTTGTGAAAGCAATTATCAAAGTGTCTATAAAGTTGTTCATAATTTTCATAATCAAAAATAATTGTATGATAGTGGAATCTGATCGCTCTGATACCTTATTATTCCAAAAAATATTTCCGAATTCATAAATCCTATAAAAGTTTGAGTATGAGAGAACTAATACGATGATAATCCTTTCAGAGTTTTAACAGAACAAACTATTGTATTCTTTATAAAAATGTCGAAATTGACAGCTGCAACAGATAAGGAAAAATCTAAAGAGAAATTATTTCTAGATTTATGGGTACTAGGCAATTCTATGCTAAAAAGTGTGGTGTCAATTTTCGTCAGAAAATACAAATAGTTGTGAGGCTTCATTAAGGTTTTAGTTTTGTATCATTTTTTTAATAATATTTATTTAAGTTGTTTTAATATTTCTTAGCACAAATAAAATATTATTTTGCTTATACTTTGCTTGCAATTAAAACATTTTCTTTTGAAAATTTTAAATTGAATTTTTTAACAATACATTAAAACCTACCTTGATTACCTAAAACTTGATCCTACTATACCTAACAACAATCTGACCTGTTTCACCTTTATTACAGCTGATTTTGCTCAATTACTTTTGTATTAAGTGATTAGAAATTTTTCTGCTAGAAAATAACTAGAAGTAAACAAATTTTATGATTTGCATTTTTTATTTTATTTTTTATGATATTGTATTGTCATTTATGTTAAAAAATAAAACAAAAGTGTCTTTTCTTTTGAAAACATTATAATAGCTGCTAGTTATTCTTATTAATTTTGCTCCTAGTTTAATGTTCATATTCGTAGTGTTTATATTCATAGCAAAACCAACTTGATTAAGTTTCCGTTTGATGATTTTTATGATTTAACATACCCCTGGTTTTGAGAGTGTCATATATTAGGGTACCAATAGTTTGAATCTAAATAATTTTGATCTACTGATAGTTTGTGCATCAGTTTCAATCGTGTTTATTAATCCTGAAAAGGTTTACTGAGAGTTGGCATGCCTGAAAAAAAAAAAAAGAAACTAGTTCTCTAAAAGTGAACAACTGGCTGAGTATGTTTTAATTTTTTGCAATAGATGTAACTAATGTTTAATATTGTGTTCTAAAAAATTTGCAATTTAAAATTTTTCTTATATTGCATATTAGCTCTTTTCTGTCACAAAATCTCATTTCAAATAATAAATGTTAGGAGCTATGCAAGTAACAGATTTTATTGTATTCTTGATATCTAAATACAAGTACTTTTTGGATTTGCACAGGGAAAATCTTCCAGTTGAAGAACGTTCTGATGAAGTAATGCGAGAAATGACTTTAGATGAATGGAAAAAAGAACAGGAAGCAAAGCGAGCTGTTCCTAAATACAATCTTCGAAAACCTGGAGAAGGTGAAGATGGTAATCAATGGAAGAAGCTTTATATGCTGAAGAAAAAAGCAAAAGAAGATGGTGATGAAGATGACGAGGAAGAGGATGATGAAGATGTTGATGTGAGTAATGTGGTTAAGTCATAAATAACATTTTCATTAAAAATATTTCTAAAAGAATAGTAAATAATGTAATTTGTTTTAAAACTTGTTATTGTTGTGTAGTAGTAAGTTGCTATATCAATCACATCAATGTAATGTTTCATCTTCATGCAAAGTAATGATTTAATAAGGAATTTACTGATTAAGAAATTTTGTTATGAACAGTCAAGCGTCCACAAAAAATGTTTAGATTAATTAAATATTTTTTGTTGAAGTTTTTATAAATTATCTTTGATAAAAATAAGATTTGTGTTTCGTTAATTTAAAGATTTAGGTCTAACAACTATATAATTTAATTTGAATGAAGGCCATTCCATCTGTTTTCTAATTCATTTTAATAAGTTACTAGGTAGTAAAAAAAAAAAAAAAACACACTTTTTCTCCCTTTTTTATTTTTTTTTCAGACAAGGTTTCTAAGAAATTTTAATTTTGTTACTTTTGTGTATATAATCTGAAATTTTTTTCACTTGTTCTATTTAACTCTGCATTTAACATTTAATTTGTTCTAATTTACTTCCATGAATGCTAAAGTTGACAACTTAATGTTGGAAGATTTACTACTGATCTATAGTGTCACTCCATGTTATGATAACGTAAATTTTTTTTTTCTTTTGTTCATTAGGATTTTTTAAATTATACATAAATGTAGTTGATTATAAATAAATATTAACTACAAATGTTTTAAATATTCTATAATAATTGAAATTGTGAGGAAAGCTAAAATTTCATGTGGCATCATTTCCACTATATATTTTATTTTTTTCAGCTTATACATTTTCTCCCAAATTAAATTTTGCCTAAATTGTTATTTTATTGTACAAAAATAATAGCTACAAGTTTGTCTGTGATTTTTAAAGTTTAAAAAGAAAACTTTTTAACTTATGTCAACACATTTTGATTACAAATGTCCAGACTTGATATGTTGACTAAACCTTCAGGACTTCGTCTCTAATTACTTAACACTACACTTGTCTCTAATTACTTAACACTACACTTAACTGGTCCTCTACAATTAATTAATAACAAGATGAGTTGAATACTCCCTTTATGTTTACTGTAAATTATTAAAATTCAAAATTATTAATGTTGAAGAAATATCTAGACTGAAGTTATGAATTAAACTTTTTTTATATGGCAAACACTCTTTTTTATATACTTGTATAAAAAGAAATGCTGTTCCAAAAAATATAAAAATTGCAATGCAAGCTCATATTACCTTAGCTTTTTTTCTGTAATTTTTTTTGATCCATCAGTCAGCTTTTTTTGTTATGTCTTACATTTTTTACAGCTTTAGAGGCTGCAAAATTTCTCTTCCAGCTGGTCAAATATTGATTCTTATCAAAGAAAGCAATCCTATTGCACGCATACTATTTACTCACAATAGTTATTTCAATGGCACACGACTGGTAATAATTAAACTACTTTTATTCACTTGCACTGGAAGAAAAAAAACTTATGACAGCCATCTAGGGTGGATTCAGAAGTGTGTACTATTATATGCAGTTTGCATTGCAAATCCTTAAAGTTCTTACAATAAATGGAATTTTCATGTTGTAAATGTCTTTTGTTTAATAATGTCAGGGATAAATTCTTCTTAGATGTCTTGAATTTTTTGATGAAATTAGGTTTTTTATAAGAGAAAAGGAACAAAAATTTTCAGAACTCATACTTTTGCAGCACCTTTACAGCACTCAGATATTGAAAAGGGCCAATTGATAATAGATTGTTTGAGATCATAAAATATTCAGATTAACTTAATCTTTAAGTATAATGATTAATGAAACATACAAAGCTTAAATATTAACTTTTGTTTACGGCTGACAGAATGACAGGCTTCACCATGCTTAATGACATAAGCAAAGGATTAAAATATACTTTGAATTGGCAGTAAATTTTGCTGCAAAATGCTGACAAAATCAGGATTTTCCCTACCTAGGATTTGAAAGAAATATAACAGTTCTTTTTGTTGTTGATAATTTTGTTTAAGTGAATGATCTTAAAGTTTCTTTAAGTGGTTGGATATTGACATTTTGAAAATGGAAGAAAGAGTTTCTTGAAAATTCTACATAGGTGATCAAAAAAGCAATCTTGGGAAAGCATTAAGAATTTAAGTGTGCAGACCTTTAAAAGTTAAAAAAACGTAATCCTTGAACAATGGAACATTTCAATAGTTGTTTTTGATTGTCTTATAGTATATTTTTTGTTAATTAAAAAGTTGACAATTTTAATTGAATAAAATCCCAAATTATTGTAATCTTTTGAATTTAATTGATACATCTCATTTTTCATACCATAATAAATTAAAAACTTAATTTTAATTACTTTTAATTTTTCACTTACAATTAAGTTTTTGCTTAGGACGCTTAACAGATCTTACTATCTAACTGAATATATTAAATTACACTATTCAATTTATGTTTGATCAAAATTAATAACTAAACAGCAGATGTCAAAACCAAAGCAGAGATTTAAAGATGATTTTTGAAAAAAGAAATGTAACAAGCGGCACATTGAATACCTAAAAATAATGATCATGATTCAACTGGCACATTTATCAGAAGATGTTCACAATCCCCGATTTATATAATTAAAAGAAAAAAAAAGTATTTTCAAAAAATATCTCTGAGCCATTTTCGAAATTTGTAATGTAATAACAGTAGTGTGGTTGCATTTTTTTAGACTAAAGCTTTTTACTTATTATATTTTAGAAGAATTTGTAATAATGAATGTGTTGTACTTTATAAAAAAGTTGTTAAAATGAAATACAGCAAGTATTGTAATATTTGTAGCAAGTATTTAAGGAAATATACTTAAATTGAAAATTTGTTTTCAGGATGAAGAGTTTGGAAGACGTGGGCGTCACAGACAGCTTGTAGATATTCAGATAAATTTCAATGATTCACGCCGTGGAAGGGGAAGAGCTCGTGGTGGCCGAGGGGGTATTGGTCCTAGAAGTGGTGGTGGTGGTGGCGGCGGCGGCGGAGGTGGAGGTGGCTCTATGGGAAATAAAGAAATCCACAGAGAAGAAAGACGTGAACCAATGTCTGGATCCAACATGGGTGGGCGAAGTTATCGAAATATAAAAATAAACAAGTCTAGCCAACAGTCCGCTCCTCGTGTGGATGATTGGAATGATTTTCCATCGTTGGTCACAGCTTAACTCCAGCCAAACATTTGTAGATTCTAATCCTATCTTGTGACTGAAGTATTCTTGAAAAATTATTTGTTGACTTCTGTGGTTTGGCATCTTTAAGTGCTAATTGCAACAGATACTGATAATACTTCCTTGTAGGCTAATACATAAGTACCTGTCTTGCACACTCTTAAGAGACTTGTCCAAATGACTTTGTATTCAAGAAGTACTTAGTATTACTTCAGAATTATTCATTTATTCTGAATAAATAGTAACTTTTTTATATATATAATTTGCAGTTTCTGCTTTGCAGCTAAAAATTGATTAAATTCTGAAACATTTGTTTATGGTAGCTATATTAAAAACATCTGCTTTAATTATATTTTTATTTTAATCTTTATTGAGCTAAATAAAATAATTTTTTTGAAGTTTTAAATTTTCAAGTTGAATTGCTAATATTTAAGTATGCTTTTATTCCCCTTAAATTGAAAGCACAGTGCTTCACTGTTGCTTAGACTTTTTGAGGTTTTTTCTGTATTTTGTCTGTTATTCGAAACTGAAATTATAAATTAATAAAAACTTACCAAGGCAATATATTAAAACTAGCTCTAAGTATACTAAGTCACTGTGTTAAAACTAGTGTGCTGTATTTTATACTGTGTGATCTTTCAAGTGAATTGTTTGTGTTTTCTGAGTGCATTGTTTAGTGTATAATATGTTTAATTTTCCTTTAATAGTTGACAGTTATGAAACTCTTAGGTTCCAATGTATTGTGGTAAAAATTTTCTAGTCATTCATATTTCCAATATTTTGGCAATAATAGTCATGAAGTTTTAACATAAAACCTTTGCTGGTGCCTTTGTTCTGACACTATTTTAGTACTAACTTAATATAAACTTGTTAAGTAATTTTCAAGTTTCAGATCTCTAAACAATATCTTGTGTTAAGGGATTCTTGTTAACTCTTTTTAAATCAACATCCAAGCTTCGATGTTTACTGCTTTGAAGTACAGGAATTTACCCCAATAATAATATTAATAAAGGCCTTAAAAACAGTTTTAAAAAGGAACTGTTTCCTCTCCATGTACTCAAAATGTTTTCTCTGACATTTAGTCTGCCATTTTGAAATTTATTCATATATATATATATAGTATTAAAATATCGATCTGAGTTTGTTAAAAATGTTGATATCTTTATTGTTATGTATTTGTTTATGAATTTTGGACTTAAAATTTAAATAGTTTAATAGATTATATGTTAAAAGTATTTTTAAATATCTTAAAAAATGATGTACCTGCTAAAACACTTTTGAAAATCAAAATATATATGTATATATATATTAAAAAAGAAATTTTTGCTGTATAGCACAGATAAATTCATTGCATACAATTTATGCTTCTAACGAAGTATTCTGTGTTGTACATCTTAGAATATGACTTTGGTTTTATTACTAACTATTAAAGTTTGCTGCAAATTGTACCCCACAAGTGCATGAAAAAAATGTAGTTAATTTTTTAATAAAAGAGATTGGTTCTTTCTTTGTAATCTTTTGTCTCACTGAATTAACTATTTTTATTACCATAATCAGCATAAAATTTGAGTAAAATCAAACTGCAATTCATTACTTGAAGATTTTTACATGCACACAGAAATTAATTTTTATAGAAATTCTGTAAATTGATTTAACAAATAAGTTGAGACGTTAATTAAAGTGAAATAATTACAATTAATTTTTTTACAAAATTAAGGAAACAAAAATTATATAACTCAAAAGGCTGTAAAGAGTTGCACTTCTTCCATCAGCATGACAGCTTTGTATAGGTCAAAGCGGTCAACTAGTCTCAATTAGATACTAGGTTTTTTCATTTATTGATTCCCACGGTTTTGAGATCTTTTTCCACAGAATCAATACATTTGGTGTTTAGTCTTCCTCTTTTTTGGTTGCCTGTAAACCAGTCAGCTTTTTAACTGGGTCACCATCATCCCTTCTATAGATGTGACCCAGCCATCTTATTCTATAGCATTTAATAGCTGAAATTATGTTTGGTTGCTTAAATTTTCTGTATGACACATAATTGTACTGAATCCACCAAACACTGCTTTCTTTGACAGCTTCGTATATGACTCTGATTATTTTTCTTTTAAATTTTAGTACAGTAGAGCGCCGATTATCCGAACCCTTATTATCCGAATGTCCAATTATCCGAACTATGTCTGAATTCGCTTCGTTTCTTTCTATTAAAAGCTTAGAATAATTTTTAACTTATCGGCAATTTTTCTAAATTTAGAAGAATTAATAATATCCACTACATCTGAAGACCATATTTAATTTACAACCTTTTTTTAGCAGTTTTCTTATAGTAGCCAATACATACATGCATTGTTATACAGTTAAACCTACATACCCCTTTAGCCCTCTTCCACTGAAAACTATCTGAATCAAGAATGCGAGTTTCAATTTGACGGTCTACAATGGTTGAAAAGAGGAAGGAGTTTATGAATAGATATGTGCTGAAGTTTTACAATAGGGGGATGGGTACTTGTCACTTATTGTTAATGATTAGTGATTACAGTGCTTGGAATCTTAAATTTTGGAATAAAATAATTAACAGATAAATAAACGAAACAGAAGCTTCTGAACCAGTAGATCTTCCCGATGAAAAGATGCCAGGTTATACATCAGAAGAAATAGAAGACTGGTGTCGAGACACTGAAAACGACTCAGGACTTCAAATTTTAAATGATGATGAAATTGATGCTGAAATTTTGATTTAAAAACGGAACTCCACAGACGAAGAGAAAGAAGTAGGTGATCAATTTCAAGATAGTGAACCTTCTCATATAGAAGCATGCAATTCATTAAATATTGCAATGAAATGGCTAAAACGTCAAAATGATGTTGATCCAGTTCAGTTGATTTATTTAGAAAGAATAAGGGATATGGCTGCTCAAAAAAGAGCATCTTCTTTGAAACATAAGTCTTTGCTGGATTTCTTTTGCAATGGAAAATAAAAAAAAATTTGTAAAATCAGTAATTGATAAAGAATATTTATAAAAAGCTGAAGTATGATAAAAATAATTCAAAATGAAAAAAAAAAGTTTAAAAAACTAAAATAAAAAGTATTTAAAAATTGAAAAAAAAAAAAAACTTTTAAACACGCCAGAGCTGTATTAGATAGTACTCTGCCAGTTCTAAGCCTAGAAAAAGTGAAGGGAAGTTAGTGCATAAATAATAATTTAAACTAGATTTTAAACAACTTTCCAATTATCCGAACTTTTCATTATCCGAACCACGTTCGATCCCGAGCAGTTCGGATAATCGGCGCTCTACTGTAGTTTGTTTTTATTGGTTTTATTTAAAGGCCTGCATTTCTTGCCATAAAGTAATGCAGGTTTAGTTAGAGTATTATAAAAGTTAAATTTAGTTTTAATGGAAATGAGCTTTGATTTTAGTTGGTTTCTCAATCAAAATAACGCCTATAGGCCATCATTATCCTGTTATTAATTTCTGTTTTGATATTATTGCATTTGGAAGCCCTTTTATTTTGCTATTTTCAAGTTCTGGGATTACTTTGTTCGCTGAGTTTTTAATGATTTGCTCTACCTTTCCAACTATGTTCATTTACCTGTGCATTGCTACACTAGTCTGTTTAAAAATGAATGAATAAAAAGCTAATCCTTTGATGCTTAAAGCAATTGCTTGCTAAAGTGCATAGTTTGTCTATAGAAAGAACTCCCCTCTCCACAAAATCTAAGGCTCTCTGCTGCTATGGAAACAAGAAATTTGCATTTTAAAGAATGGAGCACTTTCCAGATTCCCTTTTTCTCGCTGACTTAAGCCAAAATCTGTCTTAAATATTGGCTCAACATTCCTACTTGAAATACTTAAACCTCGTAACCATAGTGGAAGTTCCATAGTTTCCCAGAGGAATGTTGAGGGGTGTCCTTTCCATAGACAGACTATATCTTTCCTTCTACAATTTTTTATGTGTAAAGGGGTGATTTTTTAAAGAAATCACAAAAGTATCTGAAAGGAATCTTTATTTCACCATACCAGATTCTCAATTTCTAGAATTTTCTATGACATACATTCTAACTTCTCCCATTTTTATAGGGGATTTTATTTAATATTTTATAGTATTTTATTTATTATTTTATAATTAAGTGGAAGTTTGTAATGTAAAGTAGTGAATATTATGCTCTTCTATTTTGATTTAATAAATTTGTTTTTAAAAGATTTTGACCATCACTACTTGAAAACAATTGCATAAAACCTGATAATCGTGCTGCGATGATACTAAGTTGCAAAATTATACTATTTACGTCAATTGTTATTTCTCTACCACTTTAAATATTGTGGGGGAGCTTGGATATTCTGGTTGGCATTTATGCTATGATTAAAGCTTTCTGAAAGTTTATTGGTAAATTTTCTGGTTCAAAGCTTCTGAAAAAGCTAGTGATTTTTAAAATAATATAAAATTTTTAATGTATAATTGGAAAATTTAGGATTTTTTTTTCTCATTCATAAGTTTTCTTTTTGTGATTCGCGTTTTTTCTTCTTTAGAGTCAAGTAGCTTTATAATTCATTGTTAAAATTTAATCTTTTTATCTAAAGGAAAAGTCAAAATTTACAGTTTAAAGTGATGGGGATTTAGTTTCTTTATCAGTGATTACATTATGTATCTGGGCAAATGGGAGATTTTAATGTTGGATACTTGGATACATAGAAAATGGTTTCCTTAAAAGAAAAGAAAAAATGGAATTCTAGAAAGGGGATCAAAATTCTAAAATAAAAGTTTGACCTTTTTTAGGGGGTCTCTCAGGGAGGTAATAAACTGAGATTGTTGGTTGTGGAGAACTATTTTCCGGAGAAACCCTTGTAACAAATAAGTTGTTGGTACCGATTTTTCTTTTCACTGACATGAAATACAATAATCTCATATACAAAAAATTTAAGTGTGTTTTTTTAATTTCAAAGTTAAAAATTTATTATTTTTCTTTCAGGAAAACATTGCTTACTTTCATTAATTAATTTATTTCATTAAATTCATGTTATGATCTTGTTAAAAACATGCAACTATTTTTCTATTCCAATTTTTCTTAGTTATGAATGTGCTTAACTTTCTTTTTTCCTAAAAGAATTTTTCTTTTCTTTGCAAGCCGCCACTTTATTTTTTTTATTATACTTCTCCTTCTAAGACTAAACACTACCACTAGAAGATACTTTTATTCAATCTTGCTGAGCCAAAACGTCACCACAAAAAGATTCCTATTGACATGAGTGGAATAATTTTATATTCAATTATAATTCCACAAGAGCAAATAGGACAGCAAGTCTTCTTATTTACAGATTCATCATGTTGCTATCAAATCTTTTTTTGCTTGTCCTTTCATTTTCTAGTATCCATCATGCCAAAAGTTGAGATCTACAATTTGCTACACAACCAGTTTGTACTTAGGCTTCCCACAATCACGGAACTAGCAGCTTTTTCGTCCCTGAATGAAATAGATATCCCACAAAAACAAATTGAAAGAAATGTTATATTCCACAAGAACAAATTGTTAAGATAAGGCGTTCTGCATTCTAATTCCTCATAAATCTATCACTCCTTATTTCCCCCTCTGCTGACCAGACGAGTAGTCCTATCGCCGTTCAAGCCCTCTAGCGTTCACCATGATAAGGGGGCAACCACAAGCGATTTGTAGCTTACAAATTATAAATTTGTTTTTGTGGGATATCTATTTCATTGAGGGACGAAAAAGCTGCTAGTTCCGTGGTTGCGGGAAGCCTTAGAAACCATAGAGTAGAGAAGTAACAGAGTTAATGTCTCAAGTGAGCGAATGGCATTGAAACCATTAAAATGTTAACCGCAGAAGAATTTTACAGGCAGGTTTAATCTCATTCACATTTAGCATAATGAAGGGAAAATAAAAAAATATTAGCTGAATTCAGTTCATTTATATCAAATGTAGATGATTCATTAATATTAGTGAGAAGAGAATCAATAAAATGTATTGTCATTTAAAACTTAATTTTCATACTTTGCAGTAAATTATCTAAATTCTTTATGTTTCTGAAATCACTTAAAGCTGTTAATTTTTGTAAATGGCCATATATGATATGTCTTTTTCTACGTCCCTCTTTATGCATGTGAAGGAAAGACTTTTTTTTTTTTTGTCTAATCACAAGAGATTGAATATGTTATTGGGATAGTTATTGAGATATGAAGAATTATAAATATTATTTTATTTTTGTACTTTTAAGTTAATTTTAAACACATATCAATATATCAGGGTATATTCTAATGAAGATTTTTAATTGAACTTTAATATCACAAAATATTTCTAATTAAATTTGAAACTAATTCATTAAAATATAGTCATCCTCATTTACTAATTGTGTATCGGATGATTGAATAACCTGCTTCGACGAATGAAATGTAATGGAGCCAAATTATTTTATATGAAATCTATGTTAAATTTCCGCATTTAAATTATTATTAATGGTTACCAGTCCTCGCTCAATTGTATAAAGAAGAGACCTTTTTTAAATTTTTTTTTTTTTTTTTTACCAGTTGCAATGGAGTTTCCAGCTTTAGTTAAGAAGAGGAGACTAGAATACCCAGTCAATTCAATAGGGACTTCCTACCCATTTAATGCTCTAAATGAAGTTTGAGTACTTTAAGAATTAATAAAATCTTATAAACTGTTATACAGTAAATGAGAAGGTTTTTTTTACTCACTTTGTCTTACTTCACTCGCACAATTTTTAGAATGAAGGAAGGTAAGAAGTGGAGAAATGTTGTGTTAAATGGGAGTCAAAACAGTCTTCAATTACTGATTTCTTTGTAAAAGAATAAGTAGTATTATATACATATGAATCATAATTTCATATAAATGATTATACTATTTAGTAGTATCGATTTGTTTTCATCTAAATTTAAATGACATTTGTCTTTTAGGATCATTATTAAAAAAATTTATTTCTTCAAAACATTGTACTATGTGTTTTATACCTTTTCAAAGTAAAATTTAAAAAAAAAACATAACATTTAAGACTCTCCCCTTATAAACGAATAACCCTCTTATGAATATAATTGGCTAGAACCAATGGTATTCTTTAAAGCGAGGCTGACTGAAGTTATCTGTCATCTAACAATTCTTTATTATTAATAGGGAAGTCATGTATTTCTTGGATTTAATTGGATTTCATTTTAATTTTAACAAACAGTTGCTCAAAATAAAGTTTTTTATCAAAGCCTTAAGAAAAAAGTTCATTGAAATTTAGTATTTTCATTAAACAAAAAAAGATTGAAAAACTATATTTGGAAAACTAATTGAATGATAAAAATCACTCTTTGTAACAATCCATCCTTATAATCCATTCGGATATTTTCTCATAATGTATTGATTAAAAAATATTAATATTTATATCTCGGGTAAAAAAAAGAATTTATGAAGCCCGAGATGAAGAAAATTTTCCAGTAATGAAACATTACTAAGTTAAAATCTTTAAAATTCAATAAAATCTTACAGGTATTAGGAGGGCTGATGGAAAATTCTAGGCCTGTAAATTAACTACTAAATTACAATGGTAAAGTTATAAAAAATGACATTTTTAACTCCAAATGATCCTTGCTGACAAGAATCCAAAGAAAAACGTCAATTTCTGAAACCAAGTAATCCAAGTTTTCATTGATTTTAAATTTTTTGGAGAATGATTTTGAAATCGGATTTAAAAATACATTTTGCGTTTCCTAGTACATTTTCTGTTATTCTTTACATGAAGTTAAACGGATTAGCCAAGGGCTATAATTTTTGTTTTGTTTTGTTCTGAAAAGTCGCTTTTACATTTTTAAATTCAACTGTGAATTCTTAGCATTTTTTTCCATTTCAAGTTAATTAAGCAATAAGTAAATAGTTATTTTCAAGCTAATAAATTATTTACAAGANGTTTTGTACTGAAAAGTCGTTTTTACATTTTTAAATTCAACTGTGAATTCTTAGCATTTTTTTCCATTTCAAGTTAATTAAGCAATAAGTAAATAGTTATTTTAATATAAGTAATAGTAATATAAGTAATAGTAATATAAGTAAATAGTAAGCTAATAAATTATTTACAAGACCCTATTTTTTAAATAAAAATTTTTTTTTGTTGAAAAGGTTTGGTGAGTGAATTGTTCATTTTTTAAAATTCGATTTTTTAAAAATCTTCTTACTTATCAGTGTCTTTAAAATAGCAATGTCATAATAAATATTACAGATAAATATTTTCATCATGGTGTGGATGTTGTATAGTGAGTTTTATATATATTTTTAGTTTTCGAAAGTGAAAAATCGCCAAGTTTTGATAATGATTTTAGAAAACATAACCTGATTTTCAATGTTATGTTACTTTCTCCTTATTCAGTTTTATAGCTAATTTTAAGGATATGATTTATCTATAAGTTTTCTAGCATCTGTAAAAATTTCATTGAATTTTATGACTATAGCTTTGGAACATTTTCTTGCAAGAATAAAGATAGTTTACGTCAGCTTCTATATGAAAATATAAACGATGTAATTTTTTATGAAAATAAATTTATGAACATACTTGCATTTTTATGGTCTTGAAAACTTGAAGGCCAAACATTTATTTTTATGCTCAGTGACTAGAATACTTTTTGCTGGTCACTAACCGTTTTGTAGCCGAGAAATATTTTACAATGTAATGTTTCAAGAAGTAAGGAAAAAGAAAAGAACTCCAACTATTTGAAGGACATGGCTTTATTTTTAACACTTTTTGAGTTTCAAATTAAAATAATTTTCTTCTAGTTCTTTGTGGTTCCAATCGTGATAACAGACCATCATAAAATTTAGTTTTCTTTTCAATTATAATTCCTCTAAAAAAAAGTAATTTATTTTAGACACAAGTGCCACTAAATTAGGGATACAATATAATGAAAATTGTATAGCACTGTATATTTATGCACATGCGAGGGCACTGTGGTAACTGCATATGTATAGTAATTGTTGTGTATGTTAATCAATTGTTGGCAATGTGAGCTAATATTTGACTTCGCTAGCAGTGTACAATACTGTTGAGCCGTCTTACACCATGCTCGTTCAAATCTAATTATGCATTCTCAAGAGATGGGAGCATAACACAGATCAAAACGTGAAGCTCTGGCAACAACTAAATTTAATGGTTTTCGTGTTAACTTTAAAATTCTGTTTAGTTACAAGAGCAGGAAAAATTACTGCAAAAGTAACAATAAATATCTTTAAAATTTTTTTTTCTATATTAAGTGCTATTTTGGAGATTCATTAAGTTAACCGGACCAATGTAACATAAAGTAACATTAAGTTAACCAAACCAATGTTAAAATAAGACTATGAAGTTGAAATAGAACGGTAACTTGTTAATATTCTCAACAAATGGGAGTAACAGATGAGCTCTATTACTGTATAAAAGTGTTTTAGAAAAGTTAATTTTTTAGTGTTTTGATGCGTGTCCGAAAAAGAATGCAAGAAAAGAGAGATTAATGGAAAAAATTAAGTTTACATATACATACTTTTTCAACCTTTTGTATTTTACTAGAGCTATTTACTGTTACATTAAGTTCTATGAACATATCATTACCTGAGAAAACAGTCAGATTATGTCTCATATATGTAGTGTATAGAAATATCTAATTTAAAATACTGCACACATAAAATCTATACTCACTGAAAATACATCCTTAATCTAAGGTATACTTCAGTGTTGTACATTTTGAAAGTCTACACAATAGCAAATGGTGAACGAAAAAAAAGAAAAAAAAAGCATCGGGTGGGAAAAAACACCAAATAAAATAAAATAGCACAGAAAAAAAAAGCTTTTGAAAAAAAGCATCAGAAAAAGAAAATTACTTTTAACAATCGTATGAATTTACTTCCCATTTGATTTGAGCTATAGCGAATTAAGCCCAAATTTAAAGTAATGAAATGTTTATTTTGATGAAATAAAATTTTTTTAAAAATAAAATCAACTAAAGAACAAGGATTCGTTTAAAGTTTATGGAAGGAACTTTACGCACTTCATACTATTCAACAAAATTTTTAGGATTCTAATAGTTTTTCTGAATTTCATTAATTACACTTAACGTGTTATGCTAATGCTTCATCAACAGGTTTTTATTATTTTTTTAAAAAATTTATATTAAAATGAAACATTTTATAATTTTTGTCAATGTTTTCAACTTATCACAAAATTAGCTGCCTGATAAACTATCGCCAATTGATACATTATATATAATAATAATATTAAATATATTACATAATTGTATCAAGTACTATTAAGAAAAATCAGGATATGCAGTAAATGTTCGTTTTCGCAAGCTTAAAATTAAACTTTGCTTATTAATCAGTTTTTGAAATAGTATTTACATTCGAATAAATATTTAATTATATTGAATTCATGTCACAGCCTGAATCAAATCATTAAACTCATGTAATTGTTGAAGTAGGGTTTTTTATCCGAAGCCTTTTCTTTGCTTCTAGAGCTTTTTTTCTTTTCCAAAGAGCTTCTTTCTTTGGTTCAAATATAAAATGCACTCATTTAAGAGAAATGTTCAAATTCTTAGTGACGGTGGTGAAAATGTGAAGTTGTATCAGATGCAAGAAAGTTTCATTTAAATTACTGAAATTTATACAGTATTTCTTTAAAATTACTAAAATTTAAACCGTATTCTATGGATATTAATTATGGATATTCCGTGAAAATTAATTTTTATCAATATCTAAAAATCCTGACATGATAGATTAAAATGAATTTCAGATTTGAAATCAGCTTAACTAACTACATTAGAAAAGGTAAACGCCATGCCCGATATCTATAGCTTGTTTATCAGTGAATTCTTTTGAAATGGGCGGCTGGACTTCGAAAAATAACAGAGAAACTTTTCTTATGTTAGGAAGAAGATAACTTAGTCTGTGGTAGAGTACACATTGCTTTAGTGATGAAAAATAAGGGGTTAAAATTGCAAGAAAGAAACGATGTTCCGTATTGATACCAGAAATAAAGAAAAATTGTTTTCGATTTAAATCTTTTTTCATAACTAAAACAGCATAAAAAAAATGTATTTCCCTAAACATAATTCTGTTGTAATAACAGAATGCTAGTAATTCTTAACTCATTATCCAAATACAAATGTTGTATCTTTAGTATTAACTTTTAGACGGTAAACTGCAAATTTGTCGTAATAGCGAACTTTTTGTAATGTGCCGCATTCGTTATATCGAACTGCTGCTGTATTTCAAAATCTAATTTGTTTTGTTTGAAATGTTTTTTAGGGTAGAACGATTTCCCAATTATTATTATTATTTTTGTTAATTTTAATGATTGTATGTCGAATAAGTTATAAATTTCGTCAAAATTTTAGTGTTATTTCTTATTTGCATAATTTATCACTGTGTTACCTTTGTTACCCTCGATAGCTAAACATTCGTTAATCATCAGATAAGACTCCTGACTTTTGCCAGTTTTACGATTTCGGGAAATTATCGATAATATTTTAACACATTTAAAGACTCGCAAATGCTAAATTTTATTATTTTTCTATACTGAAGAATTTGAATAATTGATAATAAAAATTTAAGAGTATTTCCATTATAATACAATATTTTGTTTGACATAAATAGAAAATAAAATAAAAATAAGCACGTAGTTCATGATTGGAATGCTTACCTAGTTAATTTGATTTTAGTTATTTAGGTTTCATACTTCATCAAAAAATTACTTTCGTACTCAATCGCTGATTATACATTACTGCTGAATATTCATTCATAGGAAAAGTTACCTAGTTACACCAATTTAAGTTAAGTTATGAGGGGTTAAGAAATTGCTTACCTAGTTACATTGATTTTAGTTATTAGGGTTAATAAATTGCTTTCATACTTTATCACCGTTTATACATTACTGCTGAATATTCATTCACAGGCAAGGCCTGATCAAGAAATGCGGGGGCCCTAAGCACCCTTGCTCATTACTTTGAACTAAATTTACATGTTCTTTAATTATGAGGTGCTCTTAAATTATTTATGACGCAAGAAAATGGCTATATATTAGTAAATTAGAGCTTAAATTTATTTAAAGTTTTGTTCACTTTTTACTCTAATTGACAATTCTTAACAAAAACTCAAAGAAGAATTATTTTTAGCATTCAGGGGCCCCCCAGAGGCCCAGGTCCTTAGGCCTGGGCCTCTTATTCTCTATGATAAATCAAGCACTGTTCATTATGAGGGGTTAAAAAATTGCTTACTTGAGTGCTTATCTAGTTACATCGATTTTAGTTACTTAGGGTTAAAAAATTGCTCTCATACTACATCACTGTTTATTCATTCATAGGAAAAGAGTATGGTTATCAAGTTACCCCAATTTAAGTTTAGTTATGAGGTAAAAATAACTGCTTACTTGATGAACTTACCTGAATATTACATCTCCTCTTTGGTTAAGAGGGGCTACCCATGCTAAATGAACACCGGATTTTTGTTTTGTATCTCTATGCATCACTGCTGAGCATTCATCCATAGGAAATAAACCATCTGCCTCCAAAAAACGACCAATGTACCTGCCGGATATTTTATCAAGAGCTTGAACCATAAATCCTTCAAATGTTGAATCTGTTGAACGACGTTGAATATTAACTGAAAAAAAAAATAATAAAGTATACTGCGCTACCAAAAAAAAAGAAAAAAAATAATTAAGAAAAATAAATAAAGACCATTGACACTATTTTACTGATTCATTAAAAGATGACCCTTTAATCCGAATATGACCGATCCGATAATCCAATTATGATCTCCGTTTTCTCCCATTATCCACAACTTTCTGAGAACACCCTATATGACCAATGATTTAATTTGGAGGAAACTAGTAGTACTTTATTTATGTCACGCAAGAGCTGCAGAGTAAGCTATTGGTGACAGTCTGGGAATCATACATGATAATGATACGAAAACATGCCATTACAATTTTGATCATCTGCAAAGGGGATGGCTCTCTTGCTTTGGTATCCAGACGACCTGCATGCTAAGTCGAATACTTTACAGAGAACAGTTTAAAAGGGACCAATACCACACACTCTCCGTCACTTCGCAGGCTGATCAAAATGGTCACCCAATCGCTCACTGACTGCAACCAGTGATGCTTGACTTCGGTGATCTTCTGAAAATCGTGTCTTACGATCAAGATTTGGAGGTCTTACAATCATACTTGGTGGAAAGGAAAATGATTATTATTTTTCTTCATACTACATCTATTAATATTTTAGAAATAGTTTATATTTTTCATGAATGTTAAAGAGTAGTGAGGAAAAAATTTTGTCTGTCTGAAATTTCATGCCTTCATCTAAGTAGAAGCTTACGGTAATATCAATTAAATCATTTTTACTTCGCTAAATGATCTGAACTTCAAAGGAGTCAATTATAAATTAAACTAAACTCAATGGCGTAGCAGCCCATCAAGAGAAAAGGCCTACTATGTCCATTGCATTTACTTTGTGTTCTGGGGGGGGGGGGAGAAATTAGCTGAATCCCCAGTATTTTATCGACAGGGATGCACGGCAGGATCAACGAGTATGGAACCTCTGGGGCCAGAATAAATTAAAAGCAGTCCTTTAATTCTGCTTGAGCTGGAGGATTTTTAAAATTTAAATGGAAAAACAATTTTTATAGTTCTGAAAAGCTATTTTTAAAAATAAAATTATTATTCACTAGATAGATCAATATCTAGATATATACTAGATTGTGTCGGAGGATTTTTAAAATTCAAATGGAAAAATAACTTTTTATAGTTCAGGAAAGTTATTTTTAAAAATAAAATTATTCACTAGATATTAGATCAATATCTAGATATATACTACAGATTGTGTCGGAGGATTCTTAAAATTCAAATGGAAAAATAACTTTTTATAGTTCAGGAAAGTTATTTTTAAAAATAAAATAATTCACTTGATATTAGATCAATATCTAGATATATACTAGATTGTGTCGGAGGATTTTGAAAATTTAAATGGAAAAACAAAATTTTATAGTTCTGAAAAGTTATTTTTAAAAATAAAATTATTATTCACTAGATATTAGATCAATATCTAGATATATACTAGATTGTGTCGGAGGATTTTTAAAATTTAAGAGGAAAAACAACTTTTTATGCTTCTGAAAAGTCATTTTTAAAAATAAAATTATTATTCACTAGATATTAGATCAATATCTAGATATATACTAGATTGTGTCGGAGGATTTTTAAAATTTAAATGGAAAAACAACTTTTATAGTTCAGGAAAGTTATTTTTAAAAATAAAATTATTATTCACTAGATATTAGAATTCAGTGTTTGATAAAGAAAATGATATTTGAAGTCAATAAAAAAGGAAGAACCGGCTAAGTGACATTTTCAAAAAGAATCAAATTATAATACAAATGCTTCATCATTAGCAGTTCGGGAAAGTGGACATAGTGCTAGAGTTGGACATCTTGAATAAAATTTTTTTATTTATTGGTAAAGTTTCCTCTATGAGATTGACAACACTGATGTGCAGTTGCATAATCACACTGTGATTACTTCAGTAGAGATTCGTTAAAGAAGATTTTTAAGGTGCGAAAGTAACTTTCAAATTTTCTCTTTACTCTTTTATTAACGCATTTCATTTTCAGAATTTTAACAAAAGGGGATAGTATGCTATAAATTATACCGTTTTTTATACTTATTTTGATATTAACTTTTGCTCTGTAGAGTTTCAATTAACCAGCATTACGCATTAACAAACACAAGTCCTCCTTTGGCTAGCGTGGACATGTCCACACTGGCCCTATTGAAGAAATTTGAATTGATTACAAATGTAATACACTTGATGCTATTTATTTCCTAAATTAGAATAATTCTGCAGAATGATATATCTTTACACGAAATTGGTTTCAATCTTAAGTAAGCAATTTAGCTCGAAACTTTCATACCAATCAACTTTTTAAAGGTTGTAGGCAAAGTTGGTTATAAGCAGCAAAGTTTTATGTTTACTTCAACTATCGCTGATCAAAGTTACCCATCCTTAACTGCAATATATTGCTAGCTTCTGCTTTTCAACCTACTAATTAAGTTGTCCGAAGGAAGGCAAAATGGAAGACCAGACACAGAAAGAACTTTGTATTAGCTCATGTAGCAATCATGGAGGAGAATTCAAAGCTTGTTTGTCAAGGTAGTCCCAAACATTCTTTGTCAGAATTATGTTTCGAGATTTGTATGGTAACACACAAATTTTTTTTCTGCAGTATAACCGTGCACTGTCTGTTTAAAAAAATTACGCTTAATAGCGAAATTAGATATACAAAAATCTATGAATGGGGAATTTGGTGTAAACAATAACAAGATTCTAAAACCGGAGCTGAATTCAGAAAACAGATTAACGCATGGTAAATCTCTCAATTTGTGTTATGTGTGAAGGAAAATGAGTGTGATATACTAAGAAGTTTTTTAATTGAGATTAGTACATAAAATTGTACATAATTTCACCATATTACTCTTTTGTATTTTATAAATTTTAAATGGTCGTGAACCATTAATTGATTTTAGGAAATTAATTTCACGACATGAATGAAGTATAAAGTTTGCCATTTGTGAGTGTTACGCTCAGTTTTTTTTCTTTTAATACTTTTAGATAAAGTTAAATTGATTTACAAATTAATGGTAAAAGCACAGTTCAATTTAAGTGCAATAATAGGTGTTTATTTCAAAATGAATTGTGGAATTGATACAATCCTTTTCACATTTACTAAAGATATTTTGCCACAATTTATTGTTTTATTTTAATTGCTTACTTCAATTAAACTTTACGTTTAGTACACAAACCATCATAACTCAATTCAAGCAAACAAAATCTTTTTTAAAGCTTCCTTTAATTGAAATAGCAATCTCTTTTATTCTATTTACTTACTCTTAAATTAAAAGAATCCATACTCTTTTCAGTACAATGCAATTTCCTTTTCCGAAGATGTATTGTTACTATTTATTGTTTTGTTTTATTTGACTGATTCAATCAGGCTTTATAGAGTTTTACTACGTAATATACACAACCCATTATAACTCCGTAATTCAGACAAACAAAATCTTTTTCAAAGCTATAATTAATCGAAATAACAATCTGTTATTTATTCAATCTAATTACTCTTTGAGCAATAAGAATTGAAACAATCCTTTTGAATACATTGCCCATTTCCCTTTCTCACGACATTTCTCAACTATTTATTGTTTAGTTTTAATTGACTGGTTCAATCAGACTTTATGGAGTTTCACTACACAACCCATCATATCTCATCAATCCAAGAAAGCAAAATAATTTTTAACATTATAATTAATTAAAATAACAATCTGTTATACATTCATTTTACTTATTCTTAGAGCATTAAAATGAATCTTATCATAGCTATTTAGTTAATGTTATTTTTGAAGAATATTTTTTAATAAGCCTTAATATATCGAAATTTTTTTTTGCTACAATAATTGAAAAAAAAATGTTTTTTGACGTTAGAATAAACATAAAAAACTAGAAAAAAAAGAAACCAACTCATTTTCTTTTAAGTGAATTAATTACATTTCATTCCTTTCATTGCATGAGGATTTTTTTTTATTTAATGAGATGAGGAAAAATCGTTAATCATTTAAGCCTGTAATGCGTTTCTCACTTAAGACGCATTTTATTATTTTCTTTTTTTAAAATTGAATTTATGTTTTTGCTTTTCTTAGAGAGAAGCTCATCTGTTTTCGACAACTATTGCTCTCCGTAACATATGTGTTGAAAGGATAGGCTTTCAATATGGCTACTAGGCATTAGTTTAATCGAAAAGAAAAAAATAAATAAAAAACGACAAGGATGTTTCCCCATCACTGCTTTCATTAGACTTTTTTTCTTATTCTATTGTTTTTAGAGTAATTTTAAAATTAAGATTAATTTTAGAAAATATATATATTTCTTTTACTCTAGAAGAAAACAACTGTTTTGATATTTCTTGTTTTGTGTGTTATAAGCTATACTTTTAGAAAGTGTACAGTTAGTGCAAAGACTAGTATTTTTATATGATACCAATGAGTTCCGTATAAATCGTTGTTAATGTGTAATTTAGAATATGTAATATGTAATTTTAGAAAAATGTGCGCATTTTTTCGCACAATTAAATCTGTCTCGTTGATCATTACACTCGCCTTCCTTTTACGATAATTTGTCGGATTTCGATAGCCTTAACTCACCACTTGTGTTTTGTTTTAATTTTTGATAAAGATCCTAAAAATGTATATAAATGGTGATCTTCATGGGACACCATGAGCAGTGATTTAACGGCAATCTCATGTAATTGTGGGGTAGCTAAGAGCATAATATTTGTAACGCGTAATTTTTGATATTCACATTTTTTTAATAAACTCTTGCGCATTGTAATAAAAATATTGTATTTTTATTTTTAAAAAAATGATTAGATTTATGACTTTTGACAAAAATTCTTTTTTTTAAAACACCAATGAATTGCTCGGAGATTAGTTTGTTAGTTCCTAATAGTTACTGTTATTAGTAATGTTAGTTAGCAACTAATAGTTACTGTTATTTTCCGCTGATGCAATGGGATAAATAAATGAGATAAGACTAGTTTAAAAGTAAATG